GGGGGGGGGGGGAAGAGGGGGGTGTTCTCTCAGTTCCCAGGCAGTGCCGAGGTCTGAGGTCCGTCTCAGCTCGGCCTCTGCGCTTGCCCCCCGCGCCTGGCTCATATAGAGCAGGCTGGGTCTTAGTCTTCCGTCCAGACTTCAGTGTCACTGCCTCAAGGAGGAGCCCTCCACCCATAAGGGTCTCTCCCGCCCCCTAAGTTATCCTGTGACAGAGCTTCCCATTCTTTACCTCTCTCACAGCAACTACAGGAACCTGTAATTCTTTCTTTTGGGCATTATCAGGATCCCCCGCCAGAATGGAAACTTCTAAGGACAGGAGTCACGTCCACCTTAATTCACACCTGTATCCCTCGTTCCAGGGACAGGTTGGCACATAATAGGCTCTCAAAAAATATTTGTTGAGTGAACAAGCAGAGGGCATGGATTGGTGTTTACAGAAAAGGTATAAGAGTGTAAAGGTGTAAGAGAGAGATGATGGTTTATACAAAAATATATGATAGGCATTTGTGAAAGACCTAAAAACTAGCACTGAAAGAATATCAGCTAACTTGGTAATTACCATCAGGCATGAACCGCATGGATTTTAGCATCGTCTGAGCTGCACATTTAGCTTACTTGCTATCTGATCATCTCTACTTTTACTTTCCATATTTTCCCCTCTGCAGCTTACTTCCTAACCTCTAAACTATAGAGACAATATGACAAATAGAGAGAGAGGGGGAAAAAAATGAAGGGGGGTTATTACAAAAAGAACACACCCAACAGTAAGATAAATGGTAATGTTAGTCATTAAAATATTAATAATAAAAAAAATCCAACCAGTTGGTTGAGAAATAGCTGTGAGGCTCAGCTAAAACTGAGTGATTTATTGGAGGCAGGTCTGTGCTACTAGTATGAGGCAGCAAAGACAGCCCAGGTAAAATTTATATTATTTGGAAGGCAACACATTAGTCTAACTCCTCTTTCCAGATATGTGACATTTTGGGCTTGATTATAATATGCTGTAAATAAAGATTACTCACCGTGTCCGCAAGCTGGGGAAGAACAAAGGAGATTAGGTTATTATCTGGTAGGAGAACAGAATTCTGTACTGTGTAGGAAAATCAGGGCGGCTGACATTCTGCACTGTGTGCTTTTTGTAGGTGACTCCAAAGTCAAAGCAACGGATAGGGTTTGGAGGAAATGCAGCTGCACCTCAGCATCTTGGTACAAGCACTGCTCCTTGCACAGGGAGTGGAGTGGCGATGGAGAGGTGGAAGGGGGACAGCAGCCAGCCATAAACCAGCAGCTGCAGCCAGCTGGCAGAGGACTTCTGCCTGGGAGGGAGCATTACTTTGCAGAGAGGTGCATGGAATTTGGAAAGTTAAAAGGCCCTATCCTCTCTTTACGCTCTTTCTTTCTCTCTTACGTATGTTTGTGTGTGTGTGTGTGTGTGTGTGTGTGTGTGTGTGAACATTAGGGATAGATTTATTCTGAAGCAAATGAAGCTTCAGTTTTAGGTCTGTACTGTCCAATAATATGGAGGCCACATGTGACTTTAGATTTTAATTAAAATGAAAGGAAATAAAATATTCAGCTTTTCAAGTACTCAGAGTCACGCGGCTAGTGGCTACCACACTGGGCAGTGCACCAGAACATTTCCATCATTGCAGAACATTGTACTGGATGGCACTGCTTTTGATCTTTCACCTGGCGGGGCTTCTTGCAAGGCCCTGGGAGGGTCCCTAGCCATGTGTTCACCATGGCTATATTTTTATAACATGCAGAAATCATTGGTTTTGATTTCCTTTCTTGGTCTTAAGAGCACTTCTTTTTAAAATAATTTTGTACCCACTTTTGGATTTGTAATTTTGTTTTGAACCCCTCAAATTTTACAAGATCAGGCCTCATCACACTTGGATCTACCCTGAGTCATTCTACTTCCCGTGGTTCCCACGTCAGAAGGCCTCCTGTGCTAACTTAGCCCCAAAACAGCCAGTCAGTCTTCATGACTCAAAATATATATTTTGATTTCCATCATGGATGGTTCCATTGTGCTACACAAAGGCAGAGTTAAGGTCAACCCTGCAGCCCTGCCTGGGTGGCTCAGTTGGTTTGAGTGTCATTCCATACGCCAAAAGGTTGTGGGTTCGATCCCCAGTGAGGGCACATACCTAGGTTGCAGGCTTGATTCCCAGTCGGGGTGCATATGGGAGGCAATCAATTGATGTTTTTCTCTCATATCTATCTTTCTCTCTCTCTCCCTCCCTCTCTCTCTCAAATCAATTAAAAAATATCCTTGGGTGAGGGTTAAAAAATATATATATCCAGATCTTAGCTATGGTAAATTGTGCTGCTAGGGATGGAAAGGGTCAATGGGGGAAAAAGGGGACATCTGTAATGTTTTGAACAATAAAAAAAAGATCAATTCTGCATTCAAAGCTTTTAAGTCTGTCTTTGAGACCAATGCTCTCTACAGAAATGGGCTCTAATTTGTCTGTTTTTCTTCCCCAAATTGCCTTTAGGGAAATTTTGATTCTTCCTGTCTGTTTATTTGGGAAGTCAATGAGCATTTGTAGATTAACATTAAAAAGTCAATTCTCTCCTGATCTTGTACATCGAATTCCTCTGATGGTGTTAACACCTATTTTGATAGAACAGGCTGCCATAATGGTCTTAAAGCAAATTCAAAGGAGTGAGCATTTGCCAAATCAAAATGCCTTTTTGCTTTTAACATTTTGAGAGGAAAAGCTATTGGCAGAATGAGTAATTTTACAAGTAAATCAGTCCAACTAAAAGTAATCAAGCACATTTTTCCAGGTATTTCCAATCTATAAACCAAAATCAGGGCTCCCAACCACCAGGACACCCTATTATCACAGCTGTCTCTTTCACACCCAGGTGAATTCAGTCTTGTCCGTTAGAGTCAGGTTAAAGAGTTCACTGTGATTGTCCACTGATTGATTTCAGCATCCAGAGTTCTGACCTCATATTTCAATTTTCCCTAGAAGCACTAGATATATTATTACTTAGTGCTTAAAACAGGTTCCATTAGACATGCTGGCAGAAAGAGAGGGAGTTAGCTAATAGTCACCGGTCTATGCTGACTCAAAAATATATGCAGTGACATCTCTAATTTTAAGAAATTGGCTGGAAAATTGTCTCAATTTTGAGTGCAGAAATTGCTGCTTTTCTTCTGTGAATGCTGACAGCTTGGGTGATCATTTTAAGCAGGGTACTTACGGCTATGGTCCCGCACATACTGAATGAGCTCACACATCTACAGTTCAAAAATAAAACAGAAAGAATTAACCAACAAACTGCCAGATCTTTTAAGTTTAAAAATGAAATAAATTTCATAGAGTGCTTAGAACACTCTGTAGGCGTCAGGAGATACTTACGGAAAATGAAGCCATTCCTTTGGCCCCTTTCACACCCTAGGGAGACAAATGAAAAGTGGTTTCACTGCTCTAGGCACACACATCAGTAGCCAGAATGTGCAACAATATGACCCCAAGAAAATGATAACTTTGTAAAATTTTTATTCTTTTAAGTTAGAGGGGGAAAAAAGAATGCACATGGATAACCATCACCTAATTAGCAATAGCACTCTAAGGGGAATAACCTATAAGCAGCAAGTTTGATGAACACAAACCTCCAAGGGCCACTTTCCTCCAGCCCCATGTCTGGATAAAAGTTGTCCAGAATCTAAGGGTAGAGCTGACCACTTGACACTGGCATGGAAAGTTTTGGAGCAGGCCTATGGCCTAGAACTAGATAAGGCTGAACCATCCATGTGGCTGTCCCTCCTTAAGAGACATTGGGAGTTCCTCAATTCCATGTTTTGCCTTGGCCACTGAGCAGTAGCTGAGCTAAACTTTAATCTGTTTCCATCGTCGGTTGGATGACAAAGGGGCCAGACTCAATCTGAAAATCTGGAAAGGTAATCCCAATTGTTCTTCCAAAAATAAATATACCTACATATGTACGAATATTTGTCTGGGTGAGGAGAGAAAAAACAAAGTGGAATTGGTTTGAATTTCATGTGTTCACTCCCATCTTTGGAACAGGAGGAGCCTGGCTAAGAGACACACCCAAAGAAAAATGCAATGGAGCCCACCCAAATTCCTGAAGAAAGGAAGTTCCACGTGAAGGCAACTTTGATCATGTATTCACTATTTATTAATTTCCTTTTATCTTCCTTCATTTTCTGATCATTTATTGAATGTAAGAAGGGAACAAGGATTGGACAGATAGATCAAATTTCCTGATAACTGAGAAATCTCATTTTAATCTAATACTGTTCACTTCCTCTCTCAATTCCCTGCACCTCCCAAGAAATAGCAACTGATTAACTGGTACTTTTTGCTTCTCTTTCTGAGCACATAAAAGTGGAAAAGAGTTGCCAAGTTGCCGAGACAGAAAGCATGTACATTTGGACAATGAAGACCTCATGCACTGACTTTTTACTTGGGAAAGGATCTGGTGTGATTTATGGCTTTTCTTACCTTGCGTCCAGGAGGTCCCATCTCCCCAGGGGATCCTGGTTCTCCTGGAAGTCCAGCGGATATCTCAAAGCAGAATTTATTTACTTTAAAATTATATTTATACATATATGTGTGTTTGTGGGCTTGGGAATTTTAAGTTTCAAAGGCAATTCACTTTCATTTTAGAAAATTAAGATATGTACAAAAAGCACATGGAAGGAAAAAAGGCCTCAGCAATCCCTTCTCCCCCAAATAATGCTTGCTAACATTTTGGTGTCTTTTCTTTTAGTCTTTTATTTATTCTCTTGGTATTAATATACATGTTCTTTTTAAAATTTTATACTTTTCCCCTGTTGCCTTTTAAACAAAATATACATCTCTGGACACTTTTGTGTTACTAAATATTATTTTGAAAAATCACTTTCTTGGATGCATAGTATTCCAATAGCTGGATATACCATAACTTATTTAATCAGTTCCTTACCACTGGCACTTTAGTTTGCTGTTGTTGTAATAAGCAGTGCATATAAAGTTATATGTTCAGTTCTGATTATTTCCTTGGGAAGATTGATAGAACTGGAATTGATGGGTTAAGGGAGAAATTTTTATCTGAATGAATTTTTCTCTAAATTTATTTAGTGACTAAAATAAAAAACAGATTCACAAAATCCCCAGAAACAAAAATTGTACTATAAAAATCCTTGAAATAACAAGAAAATAGTTAACAGTTTGCTGGAAATATCTGGGGTAAAATGAGGAATAGCATCAGTCAGAAAAACAACAGTTGCTGGCACTTCCTGTATGCCAGGAATTTTTCCATGTCCATTCAAAATGTAATTCATCATAAGGAAAGCTAGAATTTAGTTTAAAAATTGGAACAGTATTCCTTTGCTCATTCAAAATGCCACAGGATTTATAACCTTTATAGGAATAAAAAATGAAGTTGTCTAAAATCAACTTAATTTGTAAAAGCAACAGCCCATGGAACAGCAAATAATTATTGATGTCCTTTGGGTGTTCCAGTGATATTTACAGTATGCTAGGCTGCGTGGAAAAACCTCAAAACTTACAAATCATCTTTTATTTAGAAGACATAGATTAACCTCCCAGGAGAAAATGGTAGACTGATCATATGCATTTAATTTTGAGCCCTCCCAAAGTCTTACTACAATAATAGTAAGTGGATTTTTTTAAAGGCAAAAAACCCTGACAAGCATGCAGAGAATGGTAACAGCCATAACACTTTGGAGGCTGGAAAGCAGATGCTTAAGTGTTAAACGACTTAGCAGGTCTGAAAAAGCTGAATCCTAAGCCAGCAGCAGAGAAAGCCAAGAATTCATGTGTTTTATAACATTCCCAGAAGGTTCGGGGTTTGTCAGCACCAGGTACCTTGAGAAGTAAGACAAAGGGGAGAGGCTAAATAAGGGAGGATTGGCTGAAAATCATCGTAGGAATCCATCAACCTGCCAGCACATTCTCTACAGTGGGGCTGATGTCCCTTCTTCCACCCCGACACCAGACAGAAGTAAAACTGAGGTGTCTACACTAGGGATCTCCAGGAAGAGTTGAAGGCCAATGGTACCATCCTGAGAACAGAGAAATCAAATGAAGGTATGTGAAATAGATGTGAGAGTCCTCAGCACTCCTTTCTCATGTGGTTCCTAGAAAGTTGGCAGGCAGACCTCCACCCTAAGGTAGGCAATAGAAAGAATCTTCTCAGGAGAATCTGACTGGACAAAGAAGAGAGACCTAAGATGCTGGTAGCAGAGGCTTGCTGAGAACTTAGCCAGACCACTCTTCAGTGAAACTTGGTGGTTGACTAGCCCCATGTCCTTGAGGCTGCCAATCAGCCTTTCTGTCCCCAGTAGGAAGAGAGAGCCCATTCCCCAGATATGTGATAAATACAGAGAAAAACAGAAAGAAAAAAAAAACAACCCTGTAAGAAACAGACTATTTGGGCAGAGAAGACTAAAAAATACTAATTTATATTCTCAAGAGAGGTAAGAGAAGATATTTCAGACATGAAACAAAAACAGAATAGTCTAAAAAAAGGAATATTCAGAGAGAAACAAAATGAGCTCTTGAAAATTAAAATATGAGAAGAACATTGTGAGATAAAGTCAAAGAAATCTCCCAGGAAGTAGAGCAAAAAGACAACCTGAAAAATGAGAGAGAAGAGATAGAGGCGAAGGATTGTCATTTTTTCCTAACAAATCTTGTGAAATTACTTGATTCGTTCAACCAGTGGTTCTCAACTGGAGAGAATTTTGAACCCCTACCTCCCCCCGCCGGGGCCATTTGACAATGCCTGGAGACATTTTTGGCTGTCCTAAGGGGGAGGGAGACAGTGGTAGCTGTTGAGGGCATCTAGTGAGTAGAAGCCAGGATGCTGCTAAACATATTACAGTGCACAGGACAGCCCCTCACAAGAGAGTTATCCAGCCCCAAATGTTACTACTGAGCTTGAGAAACCCTGCCTTGAAGTATGTGCATGTGTAAAGTTAATAAAAAATATAGATGCATACAAACACACATGAATACACAAAATAAGATAGGTTGAAAATCATGGCAAACTAAAAATTCTGCAGTTGGTGAAAAACCCCCCCAAAAACCAAGGTGAAGATTTAGAAAACTTAAACTGGAATGTAAACATTTGAAAAGAACCAAAGAGGCACTCAACATTTACGGCAAAGCTTCACCAAATCTTCCAATAGAAACATCAACTCTGAGAGGGAAAACCTGGAAGTTTTCAGTGTCTAAACTTCAAAGCCAACAATACTCACGTAGATGAAAAAGCAGCTTGGCAGGTGAAATAAGCAAGTTACAAACAGTGATAAATTGCCCAATGTGGGAGAAAGAAGAAATTCAAGGAACCAAAGGCCAAGAGAAAAAGCTTATGTATTACCCACTAGTTTATTGTTTTTAAAAAATGATTAATGTGTCATTGGCAGGAGGGAGTCCAACAAGCAGCTGAACTCGTTTGCAGGTTTTCAATGTTCAAGGGTAATTTTAACAAGCTGAGGGAAAGAGGACCCGGAGGTACTTCAAAGCAGATGACATCTAGATTAATTTGACAGTTTTCCAATTATATTTCTAATTATATAAGTCTTTATTTTAAAAATAAAGAACATAATGTTAAAGGATAGTCATTCAAAAATACGTATGAGGAAAAGAGTTATAGCTGGGAAGCAGTTCTCTTGGGGGAAGCAGGATGGAGGAAAAGAGCAGTTTCTTTATTTTGCACCCCTAAAACCTACATAAATAATCCCTAAAGTTCTCCCTACGCTTTGTAAAAAACAAAACAAAAACCAGAATAAAGTGACCTCTGATGACAAAACCGGAAACCCACTTCAAGTCTCAAGTTCTATCAGATTCTGTGTATTTCTTTTCCTGCTTGGCATGGTGTTAAGACAAGTTTACCTGATCAGTGCTGTTCTGAACAAGAGAGCCAAAGAACGTACCTGGAGACAATCATCACAAGCTTGCCTATTTTATAAAAGGACCATCACACACTAAGTTAAGATAGATAAAGAGTCAGAAATGCAAAAATCCATCCCTGAGCCACAGGAAGTCAAAGATGCTGATGCCTGTGGGACGTACTGGAGACTCATGTTTAGTCTGAATGATTCACAGCATTGAGCAATATCTAAACCCCTCCATGGAATAATAAAGATACATTCAGTTACATAATGAATAGAAACTTTCCCTCAAAGCTCAAGAGATATCCTCTTAAGCTCAATTAAAGCCAACAATACTTGTCATAGTGAAGATGAGATGCCAGTAGGCACTGGGTTGCACTAAATCTGCCAAGGAGACGTGATTAAACAGACCATATTTTGGACCACTAGAATCCCTTACCAAAACACCCCAAAACCTTATTTCCAGTGTTAAGGATGGTACCTTGGCAACCAGAACTTGTTCACTAAAAGCAAACACTCATTGCCTTCTTGCTGGCATTGGAGGAGCAATATGCCCTTCCCCAAGTCTGTCTTAACAAAATACACACGTTTTTACAAGTCCTTGGGAACAAGTGACAACTCAAATGATTGGAAAAACACTGAAGAGGACTTCCCAAAATAGCCGAGGTTGTAAGCATCAAAGAAACTTACCGTCTGACCTCTAGCACCCTTGGGTCCAGTTTTTCCTGGACCACCAGGGTCCCCAATCTCACCCTAAATAAGTTCAGAAAAATAAAATCAGTAGTTATTAAAATCAAAGAGATAACCCCATGTGTTTTTAAGTGAATTCCAACATGAAGACATTTTCGTACACGTTTTTATCTTTAACAGCCTTCTTTGAGGTGCTCTCCCCATGTTCATCGCTGTCTGCCCGGCACACTGACACTCACTGTTTCACTTCTGTTTCTCCAGTCAGAACACAGCCTCTTTGGAGACGTGAACTGATCCTATCGCAGGACCTGGCATTTCCTGAGCTCAGTTAACGTTTCTAGCAAAAGTGAAAGCCTTAAGGTAGAGGGCTTATTATCTGAAGGTGATTCATAAACACTTTGGGAAACTTGAGCCAGGTGAGATCAGGACATTTTGGTTTTCCCTACATTTTACTTTCCTTTGAGCAAGAAGAAAACAGATACACCAGAGGAGGAGGAACACATGTGCAGAGGAAAATAAATAAGGGTAATTTCTTCCTTTACCTATGAATTAAAAAAACTAAAAACTAAGTTTTTTATTTAATAAAGCCTGCTGTCTTCCCTCCTCTCCCCATAAAGATTTTTTAATTCATTTTCAATGAACTGTCCTTCTGTTATTCCAGGTGCATTTCATAGCCCAAAAGTGTTTCTGATCCACCTCTAGTTAGTATGACGCACACAGTACCTTAGGTCCACTCTGTCCAGGGAATCCGTCTTGTCCCTATAATTGACAGTACAGAAAATTAACATATGTATATATCAGCAAGGTAGGTTTATACTGACTTTAATTTTGCCCGCTGTCTGATTTTGTTTTAGTGCCTTTGAACCAAGGAAGGACTAAAAGGATTGAATACAACACTGTACAGCACAATTTGAGAAACGGACTTCACCCGTTAAATTGGAACTATTGACCGGTTTCACCAAACTATCACGGCGACCTAAGACAAGTGGATAAGTGTACCCTGCTGAGGAGTTACACATCAGCTCTCCTCCTACCGTAGGCGTACCATAGGAAAGCCCGTCATTTGGTCATGTGTCTTAAACAGTCTTCTTAAAATGGATTTCAATGGAGAAATTTGGGAAGCTTTGAGTCTACACTTGATCTTTCATTTTCTGGTTCTCTGCTTACCTTACTTTGGCCACAGACTATAGTTGAAGAAGTATAGTAATCCCCGTTTGATAAAAAAATTAAATTGTTTTATTTAGTAATTTTTAATAAATAATTTAATTTTCTGATTATTAAATGTAGTATCTCCTCAAACATATAAAAAATACAAAAAATAGAAAGAAGAAAAGTCACCCAATTTTCATTACTCAGAATGTCATTACCCATTATAAATACTTGTTATATTTTCTTTTAGCTTTTTAAATGCATTTGAGTACAACTGGAATAAATGGTTTTTTGCTGATTATATTCTGATTTTTTTTACTTGATATGTACATAATGATGTCTTTACATAATTATAAATTCCATATGCATTCATTATAGAGTAGCTAATATTCTAATGCTGTAGGCTACTTAATATTTCCCTTTTTATGAGATATCAAGACTGTTTTCAATTATTATCAATTGTAAAGACATTTCACTGGAAATTGCTCATTCAGTAGTTTGGTTTTTTTCCCAAGAAATTTTGGCCGTTTTTTGTTTACCCTTCCAGACAGCCTCTTGCCTCATTCCCACTGGGATTTCACTTGAAATTACACTGATTCTTTATAATGATTTAGACTTTTCAACATGAATTTTACCTAAAGGATATTCTTAACTTTATTGTTTTTGTGGGTGTTATTATGATTCCTGAGTGGTTACTATAAATACATATAAATCACTGGTTTTGATAAACTTTTCTACCTTACTTCTAGACACTTAAATATTCAATGACAATATAAAACTACTTTCCTGAAGCAGTTAAAAAGTTTTTAAGTTGCTGCTTGGCCCAATGCACTTATAAAGGCCCTGTCAAACCTCTCACTAATGGCTGAAGTAAACGTAAGAGGAGGAGAACACGTTTTGGAATGCCTCCCAAGTGCACTCGAGCACGGAACTGCTAAGAGTCAACGCACTGTTTAGGCTGGAGCAAGTCAGGCCCTGGCTGCACATCTCTGCAAGGAGCAGAACATTAACTTTCAAATTTCAATTGCTGCCTGCACCTTAAACCACCAAATTGTTTTATTTTCTTCCACTTCATTCCCCACAGGATATCAACAAAGAAATGATCAAAATCTACCTCTAAAAGTCTAAAACTGCTTTGTCCCCTCCTTTCTTTTTCTTTTAAATGTGGCAAACAAAAATCAAGCAACAAAGATATATGGAAAATGGCCAGCTTGCAGTCGACAAGTCTTACCTTTGCTCCTTTACTTCCGATGTTGCCATAACCTGGGCTGCCATCGTCACCCTGTAAACAAAGTGATTAGTTACAAACGTCCCTGACTACAGCCAGAGGCAGCCTTGTTCACAAGAGAAGTAGACAGCCAGCTTTTGTGTTTCATTAGGAGAAATTAGGAAGCAGGATTCTCTGGGGCAGACCACTGACATTTGGTGATAGTGGCACTAAAGACATCTCTCAGTAACATATAAAGCACTGTCCCTTAGTCTCATCTATAAAGTGGAAATAATAATTATAACCACTTTGTGGTGGTGTTATGAGGATTAGAAATTTTGGGCATGAAGTGATCTCAATAAAAGGAAGCAGAGGTGCTCTCTCTTCCAGATAACCCTGGTATTTTAATACCTTAATACTAATCCATTTGCACTTCACTAGATAAAAATAAGACCTAAATGCCTGGGCAATGGCTACTTTTGGGCCCGTGTAGAAGGCCTTAGTGAGAAGTCCTGAGCTGGGAGAAGCATGGGTTGGGTTTCTGATGATTGGGTTCTGATGGGAGGAAGGAATGAATGAAAGAAGGGCTACAGGGATGCTGAAGACAAGTCCTGTCCATTTTAATCATCTGGCTTCAAGAGCACCCTGGCCAGGATGTTTGGAATCTGGGAAGTTGCCACCTTGGAAAAGCTGGCCAAGGGGCTAATCCAAGATGAGGATAACATCTCAATGCCTAGAAAGCCCTAAAGCTAGATTGGGATGGTATCTTTAACTGTCTCTCCAGACCACACCTGATATCCACTGAACTGAAAGATTGCAAGGACAATCTTTTTATCTAAAAAGATATAAAGTAATGATAAACCACCAACCGGTAAGCCTCTAGGACCAGAAAGGCCAACAGCTCCTTTTTCTCCTACATCTCCAGGTTCTCCCTATTAAACAGAACAATGAAATGTATTCTTGTTAGGTTGTTTTCGTAAACAAAATAAAAAATGTTGGCACTAAGACAGCACTTTTCAATTGCATTCACATGTATCACACAGTGACAATGAATGGCCAGGACTGTGAGCTGTGCAACCAATACCAGGGGAACTGCTGTTGCTGGCTGCTGAGGTCTCCTCTACTGACCAACGAAGCCTCTACAAGTCTGATGTATTGTCTAGTGCAAGTTGCCTTCTTAGCCGCTCAGTGCCATGAACCGGATCCTTGGACGTGTTTTACCATGAGTCAGAGGAAGCTCTGTACTGTTTAAGAAAACTGTTTTCCATCGTGACCCATGTAAATCATCTGGCTGCTGTAAATACAACAAACTCATTAATCTAGTTTTGACATCCTGGCAATAGTTTCTGACTTCTCACTACTAGAATATCCATTGTGGGTTCTAAATCAATCTCAAAAGTATGTTGAGGGAATTCCAGCTACTTGGGAAAGTTGACACAGGTTTACAAAAGAAGGCTAACTCCTTTTCTTAAAAAAGAAAACAAAAAAACTTTCAAAATTTTAGATTTACAGAAATGTGAAGACAGTACTTAGAGTTCCTATATGCTCCTATTGACCGTTATGGTAGTTATATCAGTAAGATACATTTCTCACAATAAATGAATATTGATTCACTATTATTAACAAAAGTCCATTCTTTTCAGCTTTCCTTAGTTTTTACCAAATATCCTTTTTTTGTCCCAGGGTCCCATGTCTTGCCTCCTCAGGCTCTTCTAGACTGTGACCGTGTATCAAATAGTCCTTGTTTTTGATGATCTTGACAGTTTTGAGGAGCACTGGTCAGGTATTTTGCAGAATGTCCTTCAACTTGGGTTTCTCTGATTTTTTTATGATTATGTTGAATTTGATGGATTTGAGGGATTAAGACCACAGAGATAAAGTGGCGTGCTCATCACATCATCTCAAGAGTATATCCTGTCAACGTGGCTTATGCTAACCGTATGCTACTTACGCTAACCTTAACCACCCGACTGAGGCAGTGTTAGTCAAGTTCATCCATCGTCTAGTTACTCCCCCTGCCCTTTGCATGACGTAGTCTTTGGAAGAAACCATTCGGAAGTGGTGTAGCCCGCACTGAGTGGGAGTGGTTAACTCAGTTTTTAAGGATAGAAAGGCAACACAGTAAGGGCGAGAAGTGCAAATGGACAAATGTCCACCGGTACTGAGCTCTGTGGTGAAACAGAAGAGGGCCCCATGGGAGGAAAGCAGGTCACCAGTCCTGAAGCCTTTCCTTCTGGGCAGTGGCTCTCAGAGTGTGCCCAGCTGACGCTCTGAGCCTCTCCCTCTGGAATGCTTCTTGTCAGCATCCAGTGGGCTTTTCTGTTTCTATCCCATCCTTTCTAATAATTCATTGTCTGTCTACTCTTCCCCTTCTTACAAACAGACATTCCCAAGAGTCCAAATGACTCTGAAATCTGCACCTACAACTAGCCCTAAACCCTTTCCTCTATTCCCCCAGACTAAGTGGGTTTCTTCACTTATACCTGCTCCCCCTGTGACTTTCCTAGTGCTGCGATGTGTTACTGGTCCCATGGGAAGCCCATGAGTCATCTAGTCGTCTTTGCTCTGGTTCAGTTTCCTGCTGGAACACATCCACAGAACCATCATGAGCTGCTCTTGCCCTCACCCTGTTAAGTCACCTAATCACTGCTTGTCATGGAAACAGTGAACGTATCAACTAGTCTTCTAGCTTCCAATCTCTCAGCCTTCAAAATATTTCTACACTGAGTTGCTCATTTAAAGTCTTCCAATGTCTGGCTGTGTTCATACACTCCAGTCAGAAATTGTAGGTAGCACTGCACCGGCTACCCAATGGTCAGTCGCCACAGACGTTCTTATTCTTTATGTGCCCATCAAACAGGATCGTGGGTTATGCCCCAACTACCCGTTGCCAGGATTGTCCATCCCCTTGCTGTCCTTCATCCTATTTCCTCTACCTGGAGCTTCCCATGCCCCCTCTCTGCTTGCCAAAGTCCTTCTTATCTTCTAAGGCCCATTCAAAGTCTGTAGCCCCTATGATGCCTCTTTTTCCAGCCAGGAAACACTTCGATTAGCACCACGTTGAAACCTCCATTTCAGTCCCCTATTCCTGACTACTTGAGGACATAGATTATTGTCCTGAAAATATTCTAAATTCTGTGGGGTGTTTTTCATGTCATATTTATTATTATACAACCCAGAACCTCTTTCAGTAAACAAATATTTACTAAGCGTTTATAAAGTGCCAGGCACTGTCCTAAGCACTAGGGATGAATCAGTGAGCAAAACAGACAAAGACCTCTTCTCCCAGAGCTGACTTTCTAGTCCAGCCAAATGCCAGTCCAGTGCCTTTGTCTTAAAAGATGTTTAACAAAGGTTTGTATGAATAGAGGAAAAAAATAATGGAAAAAAGAAAGGTGTGTATGAATGGAGAAGAGAAGTAGGGAGGGAAAAAAGGGAAGGGGGGAGAGAGAAAGGGAGGGAAAAGGGGAAAAAGAAAAATATGACCCCAGAAGAGGCCCCCTTCTCTGAGATCCCTCAGCTCAGATTGGGAGGAGCCGTTGGTGAGATTATGCTGAGCTAGAATCCCTGACCTCATTTTGGTCCACACCCACGTCCTCAGATGTTGCTGGCTCTCTAAGAATCAAGCCAGAGTGTAGGGGCCATGGGATATGTTCTCTTTTCTGCTGAAAAGGCTCTGGCTAATACAACCAGACACATTTCCCTTGAGGAGAAAATCTGAACTTTGGTGGGTATAAAGAATGTGACTTACTTTATTTCCTTGGCTTCCCAAATGGCCTTGACTTCCTGCCTTTCCTTCTGGTCCTGGAGGCCCCTGAAACAAAACAAGAATTGCGAATGTATCAGAACATAAAGCAGCTTTCCTTTAAACCATTTCTGTCTCTGCAAGGAGGAAAATGAACCACAGATGTGAAAAGACTCATGGCTTTATTGATTCCTGCTCTGGAAAAAAGGTATCAGAGCTGTCAAATAAAGACTGGCACATAAAGGAAAATTAATAAAGTAATTCATGCCAGATGCTGCCTAAATGATTGTGCTTCCTTGTGAGTCTTCTCTTCCAAAGAGATTTGAGGTTCTCACTGTTCTGTTGTTAGAACAGATGTTGCTAAAATGTCAAACATTTAATATGGCATTCCAGATAACATCTGCCTTGAACTATTGTCTCCCTGGTTCCTTGCTTTGGTACAAAGCATGGTGTGTGTGTGTTGTAAACTGATAAGAACAGATCTCTATGCTTGATCTTAGCCAAAAGGCCAAGCAGCACTGTGTGTGTTTTAAGGGAAACAACTTTACTGACAAATAATAATATTTGTACAATAGAAAGGTCAAGAAATTGTACTGAAAATAATTGGCAATAACAAGATATGTTTAGGTAGTACAATATTCTGAAATCGTTTTCTCTTTCATAGCAATAAGTTAGAAAGGTAAATCAATTTCCATTTACCAATGGGGAAAATACTGTAAAATTCTTAGAATAAACTTAACAGGAAAGATAAAAGACCTACATAAAGAAAGTGTTAAAATCTTATTGAAGAGTATAACAAAACTTAAACTGATGAATAAACATACCCTGCATCTATACAGAAAAATCTATTTGATATAATAGAAGTCTCTCCAACATTTTAAAATAATGTTTTATTGGAATAGCTTTATAGCTCAACATCTAAAAATCCCAATTCAGAAACAGCCCAAATGCCTTCTTCTGTTATTGACACCAGGGATCAGATTTTTCCTTTGTGCAAGTTGCTCCCTTAGCCTTGGTCCGTTTTTTCACCTAGGGAGAATCATCATTTCCTTCTCCCAAAAATCTTACTTTTCAGCATCACTGTCTCGAGAAGAATAGCAGAACCCCATAGTTGTGTTGGATCTCGCAATTGTCCCAGATTTCTCTACTCTGTAACCACTTCGTCCACTAGATAATAGCCTGTACATTAGGTACACACCCTAATGATTTCATATCTTTGGAACTTTGTGTAGTACTCAGAACCCATCACTTCACCCATCTTTTCATTTATTTATCCAACCGCCCATCCAGGAATTGTTCCCAGGAGAGAGAAAATCATATGTTTAACATGTTGGTTTTCCATATGAAATTTTCACGTATATCACAGAAAGAAGTAGAGGGATTTTAAGTGTTCTTGACAATAACAGATAAACTGGAAGTCTTGACCAGGAGCCCACTTTCTGTGCTTCCTTCAGACATCATGGGTGCTATGAGATGAAGACTATTCCTGAGAGATTACTTCATGTGTAGTCACCTCAAGCACACGCAAGCACAATAAGAGGTTATCCTGTTTGAAAGTCTGCCAGAATAAAAGATTTCTTGGCAGGATGGATGCAGAAAGGGCCCTTTCATTAGAACATCAGAAAACCTGATTCTGTTTCCTGCGCAGGACCATATGAAGTACCAAACTGGGGACTGTGACTGCTTGAATGGGTCTCAAGCTTCAGTGAGTTGTTACCCAGATAAAGCACCTACTCAAATACTGCTGGTTGTACAAGGGACTGTGTTTCTAAAGGAAAGAAGAAAATTTCCCTGCCACCCCCAAGATATCAAAGAGTCAGAAAGCTGCCTTGATCTGAGATCAAGAGTAGCTGTGAATTAAAATAGAAGCTTAGGGCATTTAAAGGGAAAGGGCATTAGCTAGAGGTCAAATCTCCACTGGCTTTGTCATGTGTCCTTTTACTGAACATTAATTTTGCACAAGGCACTGTGCTAAGAGGTATATATTTATATTTAGACTTCTTTAACCCTTACAATAACACAGTGAGATACGTACATATTATGAATACCACTTTACCAATCAGAAACAGATTCTCAAAGTGTTTAACCCCAAATCACTCAGTTAATAAGAAGATGAAATAAGAACTGAGCCTGATTCTGACTCTAAAGACTCAACTCCCAGCCACTCTGCCTCCTGTTCTGAGGCTAGTGTCTTGGGCAGGATTCCCAAACTCTTACCATCCGTGCACCAGTTAAGACTGGAGTTTTAAAATGTGAACCTCCAAACAATGCAGGAGGCTGAGGCCAGATCTAACCTCTAATAAGGTGACTTTTGTTCACATTGAGACTCTGTCGCAGAGTCCTTGGCAATCACAGCTGCTTTAGTGTTAAGTGAAGATAGAAGGAAGGTGTTTAGAATTTATATGTTTTAAAATATTGTCCTTAGATAGCATCTTATCAGAAAGGATTGCACTAGGAGTTTGGGATTAATGGCTGGGGCATTGCAAAGGACACCTCAAGTGTGGATGGGATACACAAGGGCAGGGGTAAGACAGACCGGCTTTCCTCAACTTTAAAAGGATTCCCGTTAGCTCTTATACTCATGGGGGTAAAAGTTTGCGTACACTCACAACCAACAAATATCAGGCTGGGTTGAAACAACTCAAGAAGATTAAATGCTCAGCTTCTGTAAATCTGAGGAAAAAAAATCGAGAGGCCAGCAAGGGGTGGAAAATGCAAGAACAAACCCCAAAGACACCTGAGAAGTTGTTGACCTTGACAGTGCTAGTCTATCCTACATTCCATCCACACTGCACCATGTGTGGTTCCCCAAATTCACCCTAATACCTCTTTTTATATAATCTGGTTCCTCTCCTTGGATGCTTGCCTGCCTCTCATGGTCCCCTGGAAAACATCTCCTTATCAGGCAAAAGCTAGGCACCTCCTCTCCTTCTTTACCTCCATCTTTCTTCCACTGCTCTACCTTGGGCATAATTCTTTTTTTTTTCTTTTTTTCTCGCTAGAACATTTATTATTTCAAAAATAAGCATCCTATGTAATGAGATAATTAGATTGGTTATTTCTGGATTAGTGTAATAAATGCTTATCAAAAACACCATTCATCTCAATAATCATACACACTTATTTTATTGATTAAGAACTTCCAAAAATAACTCTCCTGTTATCAAAAACTTATGAATGTCATGGAGAGTTAAGTAACAGTCTATGCAGGAGAGAAGGAAAATTCTGCTAGGGTACAGTTCTGTTTTAACATTTAGCACATCACATCTCAATTATCAGTTTGCATGAGTCGCCTGTATGAGACGGGACACTTGAGGCTAGGGTTTGTGTCTGACTCATCCTTTGATCCTACTACAGAACTTGACAACAGGGAACGTTTAGTAAATGCTTGTAAATGAGTAAAAGGAACGATTGATGAATCGTCTAACCTAGATTATGCAGAATGATGAAATGTGGTGATTACAATACAGATTACATATTGTCATACTGTTATTATCATTCTGTCTTTCTTTGCATTGGTCACGAGCATGCTTTGGGTATAAAATGTCCCTGTTAAATTAGGTAACACTGATGCATTATGGTAGTAATAAACATTTATACAGTGCTTACTACATTGCAGGCGTTGTTCTAAGCACCTACATATATTAAACCATTTCATTTCACAACAATTGGATGAGGTAGCTACTATTACCATTCTTATTTTATAACAGAGAAAACTGACCCATAGGGAGGTTAAATAAATGACTGAAGGCCACACGTTATGAAGGCACAAGGCTGGCAGTCACACCCAGGAAGCCTGGCTTCAGACTCTATGACCTTGACCACCATGCTATGCTTTGTAAAGAAGAAGTTCTACTTTGTATCCCAAATTTGCACTGAATAATTTCAACCTTCCTTGACATTGCATACGATAGTCATTATTTCACTAAAAATTCTACATATTTAAAGCATAACTCCAGCTCTAATTGGAATTAGTATTGTGTGTCTGATCTCTCATTCCTTTTCCAGGTCTTGATTATATGACTGTAGGACCTTTAGGAAAACCAAACAAGAAAGGAACAAAGGAGCGTACAAAAGAACATGCCATGACTTTCAGTCTTTTCTTCTTTTTCATTGTGCTATGGACTGTATTTCTTTTATATCATAGTCGTATACTTGGCTGGATTAGCACATTTGATTTATGCAAAATGCTCCAACACTCCATAAGTTAACAAGCCTGCAGAATGCTGTCAACAGAAACCACACCCCTTTTTCTAAGAACAACTTTCAAACCTGCAATTAGGACACACTCCCGTGATTCCACCCGAGTGGCTGGTCCCTGTGTGTGGTAAGAGGATATGGAGCCTACGTCAGTGGATGTAGAGCCAGCGAAGAAGAACGCCCTCTTGTATACCTGATTGTGTTGGTCTCCGTGGGTTTCCTTTGGGAGCAACAACTCTCAGATGTCATGCATCATGTCCTGAACACAAAATTCTACACACATTTGAAATAGTGCTTTCACTGTGTTGACAAGGGTATGGAAAGAAAAGCAAGCAAAGAAAGAAAACCATGCTTTCTAGCCAGATAAATGGAAGAGCTAGACCAGGGACAAGTGGTGCCTTTTGACTACCTCTGGCAACGCCAAGATGTTGAATGATTTATGACTATGACCAATCTTGCCAAGGCAAGATTAAAGGGGACTCACTCAGAAGTACACTACAGGGCAAATGGAATAACTTATTAAAGTAACAGCCACTTGGATACAATTTTGGATTCTAGTGCAAGGGAATTACTAAACTCTTTGAATTTCAACCCATCTACAGCTCAATATTTTATATAAACAGATGAGATAATCACCCGATATATGTTTCCCTTGGGACTTTTTTTTTTTTAAATCCCAATTTGTGGTGCTAGCAAGCTTTTAATGATTCAAAGATGTGAATGCAAAATAGTTACTTTGTCAATTTAATCCTACCATGAAAATTTTAAATTTCATGCTCTTTGAAGGTTCACATTCATCAAAAAATGGGGAAAAATATCCTCATGAGCAGTAATTAATATGCTTTAAATATTGTGTCATGAGATACAAGTTTATGCAAATAGCCTCTCATATATTTTGATGATGACCACATCCATTTAAGTGGTAGAGCACTGCTCAGTTTAATTAATGGACACAAAGTAATGGATCCCTTTGCCTTCCTGTTGGCTGAGAGCACAAGTCCCAGCTATGTTTTATTCATTCACTTACTAACTGATTCATTATATAAACATGCATTGAGCTCCACTGTGTAGCAGCACTGTTGTTCTGGGCCCTGGAATATAGTATAAGCAAGACAAAGCCCTGGCCCTCACTGAGCTTACAATCTTGAAGATGGGACAAAAACAGCTAAACAAATATATACTATGATAGCAAGTAGGCAAGGGCCAAATCATGTAGGGCCTAGCTACTCAAAGTGTGGTCTGGGGACCAGCAATATCAATATCTCCTGGGGGGTTAATGAAGGTATAGAATCTCAAGTTCTGTAGGTGATTCTTACACTTTGAAGTTAGAGAGTGCTGATGTGGGACAGTCATCTCCAAAGCTGGGTGTGTGTATTAGAATCACCTGGGGAGAATTAAAGTTACTGAGTTTCTGATGTCAGTGGCCTCACCTCCAGAGATTCTGATGTCAGTGGTCTGGGGAGGGTCCCAAGTGGTGAAGTGTTTTACAGTCAGTCCAGGAGATGCTCAGGTGCAGCTAGGTTGAGGACCACTGCAGTAGGTTGTATTTGGAGTGCGTGGGAAACTCCTGAGGACTGAGATAAGGGGAGTGACCTGACCTGATTTACATAGAGAAGGAGACCTTCACCTCACAGTAGGCTGAGGTGCTGAGGCAAAGAGCTAGAAACCAGCTCTGTGTCCGACAGAATGACAGACCACTTAGCATGGTAGGGGCCAGGATATGGTATGGCCATATTGGGCACTGAAGTCAAACCTAAAACACTTTCGCTGGTTCACAGGCAATAAGTAACCCATCTTCAGGGAGAAACCACAAGGACATCCAAATGAAAGCCAAGATTAAAGCCAGATGCAGCCATGTTCTCTCGTTACATACCTGGGGACCTCGACTTCCCAGACCTCCTTTTGTTCCTTTTGCACCAGCCTCTCCTCTTGGGCCCTAAGTGCAGAGAATCAAAGCATTATTTTCTCCCTACAAGGGAACACTTGAATATTAACTTGAATATTAAAATGGAAATGCCAAGTCGGTGACAGGGATAGAAACTGGAAAGGGAAGTCTACCCATGTCTTGGGTTCTGTCTTGGTCTGTCGAGCTCTCCCTCTGTGCAGGGGGACAAGCATCCAATCTGACATGTAAGCAGTGGGGCATTTGCAGTCAAAGTAAAGAAATAATGAACAGGTGAGTTTTTCAGTACTGCTTTCTAATTATCCTAACCACCTTTATACTCCAATTGCATCTATTAAAAGAAAATAATCCCTCCAAAAGAAAATAATCTTTAATTATATAAGCCTGAAACTGAAATATTTAAGTGAATTTTTTTATTCAGTAACTGCACTGAAGACCGGTCATAAATAAGATACGGCATTCAGTAAGATGAAATTTGGATATTTCTATTTCTGGAATGTTACACTGCTTATTAAGTGTGGCTTCCTTATGTTATGCAGAGAAACTTTCATGCTGTGTTTGGTTTTTGCATCTCTTTTAAAATTATGTCACTCAAAAAGTAAGAATCTATAAAGTGGAAGAAGTGATGTTATAGTAGTATTGCTTGTTTAGCATGAGATAAAGCCAGTCAATCTATTGAAATGCTTCCCACAGCCCTAGCGGCAAACCTTTATCATTCGAAGGTGGGAAAAGCAAACTTTCCTCAGCTGGCAAGTAAGACAAAGAAATGCAGTCAAGCTTGAAAGAGATGGAGGTCCAAGGGGCAGACCGTTTACTGCTCTGAAATCTTGGTAAAATGTGAACAAAGTTTCTCCTCTGATGTCTACGGATATTTTGCCCAACTTCCATGCACCAAATTGCCAACATATAATAGCTACTTTCTTGTGTGTATGGGTTTTTTTTTAAAACTATGTGGGTTAAACCTTTGAAAACTCGCAGAACCCTTGCTTATCCTGCAATTGCCAAAGAGCGAAATTATTTCTCAAGATTTCAAGACTAAAAATTGAGAGAGAGAGAAAAAGTATTCTAATGTTCTGTAGTCTGACTTTTTTTTCTTTCATCTCAACCTTTTCTAGGACTTCCTTTTCCTTCTCATTATTTTAGGCTACATTTTGGCCTTTCTGGCACATGCTTCCTTTCCCCGCATGTGATCAGTATGAGAGCCAACCATGGCTTGTTCCTTGTAAAGCAAAAAGTGCTGGAGGCAGCTCCCAGGAGAAGTGAGCTAGAAAGCACAGGCTGAGTGCCACACTACAGATCACCCTGCCGAAGACGTCAGCTGTATTCGGAATAACTGTTTCCTACCATGGAGCCAATTTTTCTACAGCACAGGCATCCAGATATGTAACACTGAGAGCTTACTGCGCTAAATTGACCAAAATTCCCAGTGTGAGGCTCAATGTTTTCCTTCGCTCAAGGTCTCTTGAGAATCTAGCCTGAACCCATTGCTCAGGGACCGCACACAGCCCAGCACGTTCATTCTCGGTTCACCTCCTGACTGGGACAAAATTTCGATAAAGGAGACCAAATACTGTACAAGTCAAGATTGTGCTGCTTCCCTACTTTATTGCCCTGAAAACAGTTCAAACAGCTATAATTCTGCAAATGGGACAGGGGTGTCGAGGGATTCTATCAAGGCTTCTGATTTTTCAGGTTTTCACATCATGATCAGTCTTAATATGTACCTGAGGGCCCTTAAGTCCGAGTGAGCCTTCAAGTCCATCTGGGCCTGGGATGCCTGTTGCCCCCTGTGGTGAGAGAGAATCAACCTGTTAACACTGTTTCCTCAGAATTTTGTCTCCTTTATGTACAAGATTATAAATATTTTTTCAACCACAATGGCAGTGCAGGATCTTTGCAAAAATATGAATAATAAAGGAAAATGGAAAAGAGGAAATAAAGTTTTTCTCTAATCTCATCAAACAGAAATAAGCACAGCTAATTTGTTAGTGTATTTGCTTTCCGTCTTTACGCACACACACACACACACACACTCCCATATTATCCTATAACACTTGTAATATGCTCTCTCTAACTTGGGCATCTGGCCTGAAAAGTCTCACAATTTACTTTGCATTTTCTTCAAAAATCTCTAGGCATCTTACAACATTATATTTATATTCAAATAGCTTAGACATTTAAGGATCAACAGCTGAGCATTCTCTCCCTGCTGCCCCTGAACCCTGATACAATAAGAATTCCAAGAAAAGGAAGAAAGGATTAAGGAAGTTTAATTTAGGAAACTGCTGGAATCCCCCAAATTTATGTCTCAGTTGTCAGACAGTTGGATGTGATTAGATGCTCTGATTTCTTAGAAATCAGAAAGAGGAAATTTCTCAACACTTCTTCTTGTTTAAAAGGGGTTTATGTAAATTCTAAATAAGTTTTCAGAGTTAGCTAAGCAAAAATCTATAAGAAAACTCCCCCACTGAGTTGCTAGAGTTTGCGTGTGTAATCCAATCAAAGTTCAGTTGAACAATAATGGGGCGAAGCAACGTCTCTTCTTGTTAACTTTTATGGTTTTGAATAAAGTACCCACATTTCCATTTTCTTTTAAGTTTTTGAAATTGTAGCCTGTAAGTTTTCTAACATTTTATTCCACAACCAATATCATCACAAAGAAAAGAACTTTAGGCCTGGAAGAGACGTTTCAGAGTCTTTAGTCCAGCTTTTTGATTGAACACAGAATATTTATTATTGGAGTTAAGAAAAAAAATCACTGTACCTGCGGGCCTATATGTCCCCTTTGGCCATGAGCTGCCTAAAATAGGAGGAAAAGGTATATCAGTAACACCGAAGAAAATGCTTTTTATATTTCATTTAAATTGGTAATGTGTACTTTAAGGCACTGACATTAAAAAAAAGTTTCCATATATTGCTCAAAACATTAAATTATCTGCTGCACCATGAAAGCAAAATGTTGCCAACTCTGAACTCCTATCCTAAGGCAATAAGTAATTAAAATCATAGACAATTGAAATCTATAGATACTTATGAGAGCAGATTGTGGTCAGTAATTCTTCCTCCACTAAACAGTTACCGGGGCTGTTCACACAAGCTCCAAAATGGACTGGTTTGAATTTTATTTCTTTTCATTTGTCCAAAGTACTACCACATAAGCCAGAAACCAGGGATAGAGTGGCCAACAGGCAGGAAACCAGAAGAAAAATTGGGAGAACTGACTTCATGAACTTTACTATAGATTGTCAGAAGCTAAAGATAGCCAAACTAATTTTATTCCATCCCCCGCAAAGCCAAATACCTGTCAAAAAATGAAAGAATCACCACAATCATTCAAAAATTACTCAATTCAATTTGTTAATAAAATATCTAGTCAAAATAATGGTGCTACATAACCAAGTGGGTTTTTCCTGCTACTCTCATATGTAAGATTAGGTTTGGGTATATTCCAGATCAATACTTCATGGATCTGGAAATGAAGAGACAAAGACATTTTATTGTCTAACCTAGGATCTCTCAGTAAGGTAATAGCAGTACTGACATCCAGGATTTGCAAAATTCAATAACTATCAGACAACATTTTCTTGATGGAAATTTATTTGAGATATTAAAGTCAAAATTTTGAGAGAGCAGTAGATTTTAAATTCTATTAATCACATTTCAGTCAGAATTTATTATTATCTAGGAAACAGATTGCATCTGGGGAAATGGTTGGAGGCCTACTTCTTAAAAACCCCGATGAATCAGCTTGAGATGAAAGTCTAAATCCTATCAGAGGGAGGGAAAGAAGCTTTCTCTCCTCCTTTAGCACAAGAGTTTTTCTCTTCTGAATTACTTCACGTCAGTTTCATTAAGAAAATATCTACCAAGGGTTTACTATGCACAATGTACATTGGGTGGGAACCACAGGAGCATAAGGATGACACACACATATACACATACACAGAGTCCTTGATCTCAAGGAACCCTCACCCCACTCTTTGGGTTTCACAGGAGGAGATAAATATTTACAAGGCAGAGTATGGGAAAAGCCACAGGAAAGGGGAACAGCAGAAATATGAGTTTTGAAGAAAGCAATCACTTCTAGTTGGTCAAATCAGGAAAACCTTCCTGGAAGAAGAGATTTCGAAGATGGGTTTTGGAGGATGGGTAGGAGTCTTACAGGGAGATGATGTAAGACATCTTCTTTCTAGCAGAGGATACCAACCTAAGTAATAAAAATAGGAAAATAGGAAGTGTACTTGATAGTAGCAATTCTGGGTCAAAGACATGAGAAGAAAGGTGAATAGTAGGGTTACTAAGGCTGAAAATACTAGATGAAGGGTTCATACTTCATTTAGCAGAAACTACTGGGGTTCTTGGAGCAGAAAATGTACATGGCCAGATCTGGGGTTTAGGTGGATACATCTGGTTGGGGTAGGAACAGTGAAATGCAAAATTATACTTAGGCAAGAGCTTCCTATATGATAAAGGATGTGAAATAGGCTTCCACATTCAAAAATCTGGTGCACTGTCACAGTGTTTAAACATCTTCAATAAACATTTGTTCTGTCTTTAAGGTCTGGCTTGACAAGAACTTGATTTAAATTACTTAACACATATTTATTGAGCTCTTGCTTCCTACAAGTCACTTGCCTACTTGTCTACGTGATGGTGAGAAAAACCTGACTCCTGCCCCTAGGCAGGAGTTTACAAGCCTAGTGGAGGAGACAGTCCTTAATCTACCATTCACACAAATAATGGAAACGTCTCCAGAAGTAATCAGCTGGTACTTTCATGAACCGCTATTGGGTATTTAAACTCCAAATGAAAGTCATGGTTTGAAATACCTTGTGTAGGTGTGAGAGAAAGAAAAACAAACAAGGAAATAGAGATGATTTTTATGATTTTGCCTCAAATTTTCAAATGCTTTAGATGGGAAAGATTAAATCCCTAAACATCTTAATGGTTTGCCTAAAGGCTTATAGTTGTCTGGTAACACATCCAGACAGCCTTACTCATCTATGAAAGGGAATGCGAATGGGCAAAGCAGGAAAGAAAATCTCCCCAAAGAAGACCTGAGAGTAAGAAGACCCAGAAGAGTCCTCAGTCCCTTGGTCCCCATAGCCTGGCTTTCTGGTGGTTTACCATGACCCACTTTCCCAGACAGGCAGAGACTGATTTGAGATATAGAATCCCCAGGTAAATAAAGAAGGACATTCTGAATGGTAAAGCATCCCATTAATACTGACTCTTAATGGCAAACTCATCACAGTGATAAAGGATTGTCCTAGAACACTTCAAGCTGTCCCTAAACTAGTGCCAAGAAAGGAGAAAAGGGCTAAGCATAACTAACGGACCCTGAGGACTTAGTAGGACTGAAGATCATGCTTTAGTTTGAGGCTACAGTTGCTTCTCATTAGCCATGGCACAAGGATCCACTCTTAGTCTCGGTAAAGTTTGGTTCAGAGAGTCAATCTCCCATTCCCATCCCCACTCCGCCCTTAGCACAGCAGCTTTCTAGCCCTGGTCCTTCCTCTTCCCAACCACCCAGCCCATTACAGACTCCTGGCACAGTGCTCGTTACCCGTGCAGGTCTGTCCCCCTCTATAACAGTGGTTCTTAACCACAATGGGGGCGTTAGTACCCCTCGTCTCTTTCTCTGGGAACATCTGGCAATATCTGGAGACATTTGTTGTAGTCACAAGACAGGGGTGTCACCAGCACCTAGTGAGCGGAGGTCAGGGATGACACTAAACATCTTACAATGCACAAGACAGCCTCCCACAACAAAGAATTATTCAGCCCAGCCCAGCCCAGCTGGGTGTGGCTCAGCGGTTGAGCACCAAACTAGGATCCAGGAGATCAAGGTTCAGTTCCCAGTCAGGACACATGCCCGGGCTGCAGGCTCCATCCCCTTTCGGAGGTGTGCAGGAGGCAGCCGATCAATGACTCTCTCTCATCATTAATGTTTCTCTCTCTCCCTCTCCCTCTCCCCTTCCCTTCCTCTCTCTGAAATCAATAGATATACTTTTAAAAAATTAAAAAAATAAAAACCCTTGATTCTCAAAAAATAAAATAAAATTATTCATCCCAAACGTCAATAGTAGGTTGAGACCCCCCATTCTACAACATCATTCTAAGTTCCCTGAGAGCAAAGGATATGTCTAATTTGAGTTTGTAGTGCTAGCAGTTAGTACAGTCACTGGTACATTGTAGGTGTTCCATAAATGTTTACCAAATGAATGAAGGTGAGATTTGGTCAACTGCTGGGATTTCCCTTCATGCCTCACCTTACCACTGGTCATCCTCTAATCACAGATCAGTTCAGCAGAATCTTCTTGTGCTGAGGAGTCTACCTACATTTTAGAGTTTTTCACTCAGAGATATAGAATTTTATCCCTTCTTAAAGGATATTGCCTTAACTGTTATTATAAAAATGATACGTGTTGAGTTTTAAATATTCAAATGCAGAAATTGCACAGAATAAAAATTTAAAAGTCATCCCACATCCTCCATCTAAAAATAACTCTCATTAACATTTGGTAATCATGGTTCCTGGCATCTTTTTATGCATGTTTACAGATGGAGTTCTAAATAGTGGTTACCTATTTGATCGAAAAGGGATCATGCTATTCATGCTATTTTAAAAAAACACATTACATTTCATTTTATTTGAATTTAATAGAAGAAAAAAATAAAACAAAGAATTGGAAATGGCAGGTGGTAACATTTCTTGACAATGAGAAATAACACATTCCTAAACGAGGAAAGATTGATTATGGAAAAAAAATCAGGAAGTTAGGGTATCTTTGTAACATGTACTTTAGCTTAAGATGATGCTTGGACATTGACTCCCCACAATGACAGGTAAGGACACAGTATATTGGCATTTTCCCTGAACTTTTACCACTTTCCTATTTTCATATAATTTTTAGATTGTCAAATGTATAAATTTACATTTTGTTCTGTGATCACAATTTCTATGGTTTAGTCTTATTTCTACATTTAAAGGGACTCAAATTTATCATTACCAACTTTTAGAGAAAGGAACGTGAGGGCCATATTGTCTGAGTTCTGAAGGCTTGATCGTGGTGAGGACTTATGTGCTTAACAGACGACGTGGGTGAGTATCCACATCTTGTGCCTCTCCATTTCAGGGCTCTGTAGCCATTCTCACATTCCCCTTTGTCCCTGACGGTTGGGGAGAAGGCTGGAGATAGGCTGAGTTGTTGTTGTTTTGTTTGCTTTTTTAAAATATAGCTTTATTGATTTCAGAGAGAGAGAGAGAAACATCAATGATGAGAGAGTCATTGATCGGCTGCCTCCTGCACGCCCCACACTGGGAATCGAGCCTGCAACCTGGGCATGTGCCCTGACTGGAAATCGAACCGAGATCTCCTGGGTCAGAGGTCAATGCTCAACCGCTGAGCCACGCTGGCTGGGCCAGACTGAGTTTTCTATCTTTTTCACTTGGAAATCCTCATGATTCTTTTTCAATAGGATGTGGCTCAGTGTTAACATATTTGTATCAACTTTTTTCTAAGTCAGAGCATGTCTTTTCTCTCTGCTTGTTTGAGCTTTTGCTTCAAGAAGTTATATTTTACTACATTTCTGAATTTTTTTACATCACATTTGCTTTAATTTAGCAATGCAAGTTCTACATTTGTTGGCTCTCCACTGTTGATAGTCTATCTCTATTATTCCATATGCCTGCCTATATTTTTTAGTCACATTTATTCTAATTTTTTGTTGCTTCTAATATAGCTTACATTCTAATTTTTTTCCCTTTCCCACTGCTCCCCAAGCACTACCAGCTTGCTTTTTTCACATTCTATCATCTTAACAGTTCTTTAGACTCTTTTTAGAGCAGTCATGCTGTCTTAAATTTTTGAGACTTCTAAGAACTATTTGCCAGAGTTGCTTTACCTTTTCTTTAAATAGTTCCTTTTCAAATGAGGGTTTATCTGCCGTGTGCTCATGTAGTTTTCCTGCAATTTCTATGCAAAAATCCTGATTAGTAATCATCTGATTAATAATGAAGATTATTAGTATTTTCCATTATTAATCACCTTTGAATAGGGTCATGTATTTACTGAATAACTGTTAATGTGGAATAGCTGTACTTGGGCCAATAGCTTTGATATAGGTATGTTGTCCCAAACACTTTCTCATCATGAATTATTTCTTTTACCTTATAGCTCTCTCTTCCTTCAAATTTTGGCATTCAAGAGACTCATCGAACTCACACAAAGCCCCCTAAATCATAGCTTCTTTGTGCTATGATAGTCACTATATCTTCTATCTTTACAGCCTCCATGACTTAGACTGATAAACTGTAGACATTAAAAATGGAATATTCTTCAGTTTCTCATTATTTCTGTCTCCTCTGCTAAACTGTGTTTCTATCAGTATATTCCCTGATCTTCTCACAATTTATAGTACCCCTGGATTTTGTTCATCAGCTTTTTCAGGAATATGGCAGCTACTTTTAGAAAAATCTGATCCTTGCTTGAGGTCTGAGGTGGTATGTGTCAGATCTCCAAAGCCACATAGAAGCACAAAACAGACTGACAGATCTCAGAGGGAAGGAGGGAAGGAGGATGGGAAGAGATTAACCAAAGAATTTATAAACATATATGCATAACCCATAGACACAGACAATAGAGACAGGTGAAGGCCTGGGGCAGGGTGGGAGATAGGTGAAGGGGGGTAGATAGTGGCGGAGGGTGGGGGCGGCGAATGGGGGACATCTGTAATACTATCAACAATAAAATAAAAAAACAAAAGGGTCCAGATTTTGAAATAGCTGGCCAATAGTTGTCAAGTGTAACTTAAAGTTTTGGTCATTCTTTGTTAAACTATTTTAAATTTCTTTTGTTGGTTTTGGTGAGTTGTACAAAAGGGGAATAGTATATAAAACCACTTTGACTTTGCCATCTTTAGCTCGAAGTCCTACTTTTACTCATGAAGGAGTTGTGCTGTTTCAATAACACATAGCAATACTGCATTTCCCTCTAGAGAGACTAGAGCCTCTATAAAATAATAAAAGTATATCTCCCGCCAGGATTTCTTGGACGATATTCTTTAAGTTCAAAATAGTTTCTTGGGGTATGTAAGATGGCTACACCCTTTTGAAGATGAAATGAACTGCAAATGTATTTCTTTTTATCTTTAGATGCATTAAAACAGCAGTAGTAAAGTACTTTCCAACAGCAATCAAATTCTGCACATTTTCAACATAATCTCTACTTTTATTTCCATTTCTCTGCCTTGCAAAGAAGGTGTATGTTCCAAGATAGAGAAATATTTTCTTGATGGAGTTAAATAGCTGTTTCTATGGACTTCAGTTCAGAAAATGCAATACATAATAAATGAAATATATTAAACTAGTTTTTGTTTGTGCTCAATTTTAAAACATTACATATTTTGTGCATGGGGAGGTGAAGAAAGTTGGAGATGGTTAGATAGCTAAATAAAGAAAATGTTCACAATGAGAAGAGGTAGGTCTAATTTAGAATCCAATGCAGGCACTTAAGTATATTTTATCAGTCATCTCTTCTTATTGGATAAAGATTTTTCTTTTACAATCCCTGTGCTCTTCCAAGAAGTCAAGCACAGAATCTTTTGTTCAAAGTACTCACTGAAAAAAGGAACAACAACAACAAAACCAAATAAATAAATAAAAAAGATACCAAAAGGTTCCCTAAGCAAGTGACTTCATTTCAAAATACCACTGGTCACCTCAGTTAGCCTGGTGCAGGGATTTTCAACTGGTGTGCTGCAAGAATTTTAAAACATGCAATACCTGACTATTTAGTCAGGGGCACTGATCTCTTTTTCCTTAGATTGTCAAAGAAAAAATTAACAATGGCTCTGGCCAGGTGGCTCAGTTTGTTGGAGCCTAGTCCAATACACCAAAAGCTTGTGGGTTTGATTCCTGGTCAGCACACATACCTAGACTGCAGATTCAATCCCTGGTTCAGAGCAAGTATGGGAGGCAACTGATTAATGATTCTCTCTCACATTGATATCCTTCTCTCTCTCTCCCTTCCTCCTTAAAAATCAATAAAAATATATCCTCAGGTAAGAATTTAAAAAAATGACAACAGCCAATACGATAATATTCATCCAGTGCAAGTGAATCAAAATTATACTTATTTTTTTTTGTCAGATGGGCAAAAAAATATGTTTTTGGTGTGCTGCAGAATTTTAGTAATTAGTTTATGTGCACCATGAGATCAAAAAGGTTGAAAATTGCTGGTCTAGTGAGTAGACCAAACTCTGAAAACCCTTTCCCTACCTGGCTGCTTCTTTGTTCTCCTTGCCCAGCTCTTTCTACTGATTGGTAATTTCCCCTGAAGCCAGCACCTTCCTACCTGAGCTTCAGGGCTCTTCCCAAATCCTTTTCCAGCTCTGCTCTCACAGACATCCCAGGTCAGTCTCCCCAAGGTACTGAGCCCCAGCAGAATCATCCCGCCACTTCCCACAATGGGCCATTTTCATCACAATCTAGGCCACCGGAGCAGTGTGTCTCCTGGTCTAGAAAGGCTCTTACTGTCTGTCTTCTGGAGCCTGGTGTTCCAGGGGGGCCTGGCCAGCCTCTTCTACCCTGTCAAATGAACAAATAGATGTGTGACAGTAATTATACAGCATTGACACATTTCTCCTCCAACCTCAGTGTGTTTGCTCCAGGAAGGCAGGATGGGTACCCGCCACCTAGAGAGTTATTTTCTCTCTGGAATACAGCATTACTTTCGCTCGCCATACATCACATCTCTGTGTGGGTAATGAGGGACTCCAGGACAAAACCAACGGCATGGCTTCATCTGTTCATCACAACTGCCTAACTTGCACTTATGGTGTAGTTAGAGTATTTAAACCAAACTGTTCCCACAGAGTGGACAATTAAAGCATGTCCATGTTCAGTACAGATACCGCTGGCTTGGATTTCTACCTTTGGACTTCTTGTTCTGTGGAGCTAACCTGTATAGATTGCACCTTAATGTGAATAAAATCTCACAGTACCCACAAGTCATCCCAAGGTAGAAAAGGAATCAACAGTTATGAGTCTACAATGAGACTTACATTTACTACTTAATAAAAATGGTGGTTAACATTTCCTGAAGGTTTCTGACGTGGCAGGGTTAGTCACTGAATTCCCACCATAACTGTCAAAAGTAAGATTTTCTCTTATTTTGCATATGGGAAAATTGAGGTTTACAGAAAGTGGCCCAAAGCCACAGAGACAGTAAGGGACAGAGTCTGAAACAGGACCTAGCCTGTCCCCAAAGCCAAATCCTTCTACCGTATCAGAACTTTCCTCCAGGTGGAGTAACCAAGGAAAGTTACTCATCAAGAAGATCCAGAGACACATATTGTCCAGATAATAATTTTTTTTAATTCTAAAAAACAAGTTAAGAGATCAAATTGTTACTTGGGAAATTTCATGAGATTAATCCCAGGAGACTTGCTTTGAGAGTGTGGGCTGAATAAATCTACCAGGTCTTGTACTTTTTTATCATGTACTGTGAAGAATATCATGTACATTTAGGGTATGTGTCCTCTGGACTCTGGGAAGGCCAACAATTCTTTTGCTAGTTCTTTCTGTTAGCTAGCCCTATATTCTAACTTAGAGTTTAGATGTTTACATTCATAAATGACGACCTCAAGGGTATGGCTTAGTGAAGTAAGTCACCCCAAATTCAGAAGAAGAGAATGTTCCTTGAATCCCAAAGTAACAGATAAGAAAAAGTAAAAGATTCTTTTGCTCCTAAAAATAATTTTTTTGTATGAAGCTTATACACTCTAATTCTTTATATGCATTTCATGTTCCATCACTAAGAACATGAGCCTCACAGTTGACACATCATGACAAGTTTACTTTCAAATGCCCACATAATTACCTCTCTTCCATGATCTCCTTTCAAGCCCTTGGGTCCTTCTATGCTGTTGTTAAATCCAGGAACTCCCTAAAAAATTAGAAAATAAAAAGAGAAATTAATAGGTTTTGAGCATTTCTCCTTAAAAATGTGACTTGATATAACATATTTAGTCACCGCCAGAAAGTGGACAGGAGAAGTGCAGCCCAAATGAAAGCAGAAGTAGGTTAAGGGTTTTCTTTTCTTCCTGTGCTTTGTCTTATCAGAAGAGAGTGGAAACCCAAGGTGTGTGGTGGGGCGGTGGGTGGGGGAATCTAGAGTTCACCATACAAGGCATAACCAAGGGAAGCAAGGGCAACATGACCTGTGTTTATGACAACTCTTATGCTGGGTCTGGATAAGACCTTCTTGCTACTGCTATCCTTTCTCTTCATTTTTGTTTTTTTCTTGGGGCCTAGGCAAGTTTATCCTTGAGGGTTGGTAGCCTTTACTCTCCCCAACCCTTGGGAAAAGGCAAATGTTCATAATGGGCCTTTATACAAGAACATAAGTACCCTGAGCAGAGCTGAGGACTGCATCTGCCAGCCACTCCCTCTGTATACTCTTGGATGCCTGGCTGCTTTCTTTCTGCACATGCTTACCCCTACTTTTTGGTTTTCAGAAAATCCTGGAGTTTTCCCAAATATTCATACAAATGTCCCAGCAGAAACCCAATGAAAACAGGCACACTCTATAGGATATTACCTTAAGTGGGCCAAACTGAAAGCTTTCTATCTTGGGTAGTTAGGACCACAAACAGAGCAATGTCACTAGGATGCCAGGACAATCAATGGAGTCAGTCAATTCAGTCAATGCTCCAATAAACTGAGACGGGACAACAATTATCTGGTCCTGCTGAGTGTCAGCTGCCAGGCTGTTTGGCTGATGGCAGCCCAGACTACCTTCATCAATCAATAAGTAATTTGTGATCACCAACAGGGACATGTCATTGTTCCAGATACGTACTAGGCTTTTTAAACAAGTAGCTTCTACACTTACAGGGTTTATAGGCTAACAGAGTGGAAAAGATGGGCTTAGAATTTACTTTATAACTGATATTATTAAAACTAAAATGAAAAATTATTTCTCTCTCCCACATACCAAAGCCAAAGATTATTTTCTACATTTTCTGTTTTATTCTTAAGTATTTCTCTGTTAAATTCTCCAAGCAGGGTATACCTAAATTACAGTATTAGAGAATTATATTTTGGTGACAAAGCTATGTAAGGAAAAGGAAAGTAATGTCCAGAATTTTATTTCACTGGGTGTATAAGCTTCTTATCTTAGTCCAACTCTGAACTATTTGATCAAAGAGATGACATTTAAAAAATCGTATTACAGCACATTCTACCAACTTGAACATCCTAATTCACATGTAGACCAATTGTTTGGTAAGTCTGAATGGGATCTGGTCAAGACTTTCAAATTCTATGAAACTGGATAAAAGAGTATCAGATAGCACAAATTTATGATTACACCTGTGCTTCTAATAAGGGTAGGCTTTAGAATGATGAATTCTGTATCTCAGATAAATGATCTAGCTCAGTGCCCCTCCCCCTGCCCAAGTAACATGAGATTTAAAAACATATGTAGGCCAGAATGGGAAATATCAGACAGCCAAATTAGCTTTCATGTGATTGAACTTTCTCTCTGAGTAAGCATAGATTTTTCAGGAATTTGGGTCATTTGCATGGATCTCTATAAATAATCTGATTACATGTGTTCTATTTATTCTATCAAACTTAAAACAATTTTTTTCTTAAATTTTTCTTGAAATAGTAATCCACAAAAAGCACCGAGTTGTCTTCGATTTGAGATGTATATTCCCAAGTGACTGGGAAGAATTATTATGCATTGAAAAACCATCTAAAGTTAGTATAATGACAAACAGCACAACATAGAGAAGCTCTAGTGGGTTGAATTTTCAGCCATCTTGAAGCCACAGAACATTTCTTTTAAAATAAAAATCCTTTTACATTATTCAGGTTCTTTAAAGATGTTACATAATCATACAGACAATTAGGGGGAACTGTGATCAAAATGAATAGAAATTTTTTAGCAATGCCCCAAGTGGATTTTTGGCCATCATATACAGAAATGTCTTTGTCTTTGAACTACTATTTCTTAATTATCTGTATTTGTGGATAAGTTTGTTTTTAATTAGACAGTCTGAAGTTTGAAAACTCTCGGGTCATCAGAGTATTGTCAGGAGACATCACTTAGTAAACAATATTGTCTTCAAGTGCAAATTCCTCTGCTTTATAAATAGAATTATCCTCAGTTTATACCTAACATTTACGTTTGTCAATATATATGATGCCAATTCTTTCTCTGATCCACCCATGTGTACTGGGGGAGGAGTTATTAAAGACAAAGTCCTATGAGATTCCCAGTTGCCCCACCCACATCCTTACCAACACTTAGTATTGTCAGTCTTTATAAATTTTAGCCGTTCTGCTCTGGCACATTGCTAGTGGGAGCATAAAGCAGTACAAAAATATTTCCAAACCGTTTGGCTGTAAAAACTTAAGCTGAATATAGGCATTTAAGTTATCATCCAGACATTCTATTCCTAAAGCATAGACCCAATAGAAATGTGTGCAAAAGTGCACCCAAAGACATGTTCAAGAATGTTCATAGAAGCACTATTTATAATAGCAAAACCCAGTAACAACCCAAGTATCTATCAACAGCAGAACAGATAAATAAATCATGGTAGAGTCACATGGTGGAATACTATACAGGAATGAGATAGAATGAACTGTTGTTATCCACAACAACATAAAATGAATCTCATAAGCATAATAAACTTGAGCAAAAGGAACTAGTAACAGAAGAGTGTATCATAAATGATTCCCTTACTTAGCACTCAAGAACACATAAAACTAATTTATGATCCTAGGATAGTGATTACTTTAGGGAGGGCTGGTAGTGATTGAAGCGGATCTGAGGGGGGTTTCTTGTTGTCTAATGTTCTATTTCTGTACCTGGGTGGTGAGTACACCAGTGTATAATGTAAATTCATCAAACAATACATTTATAATTTGTACTTTTCTGATGTATTTTACAGTTCAATAGGTTCTGGAGATCCATCACACAGCATAATTATTATAGATTATGATTCTGCATATTATATACTTCAAAGTTATAAAAGCCTAGATAGGGAAATATTAATTATGTGCCATGATAGAAGAGTTAGCTAACATTCTGGTGGTAATCATATTGCCATATAGAAATGTATCAAATCAACACTTTGTACACTTCAAACTTACACAACGTTATATGTCAACTTTATTGCAATAAAAGAGTTTAATAAATGTTTAAAAGCAAATGTGAATCCTAATTCATTAAGGTTTTGGAGACTTCCTTACGTGGGAGCATGGTGATGAAAACCCTACAGTACAAATGCTCCATCCGACTTGGCATATCCTCTCTGCTGGTGTGGGTCATTCCTTTTTGGGTGTAAGTGACACCTACTTAACTGGGTTGTGTCCCTGTGAGAACAGGCACCTTTGTGTCCCAACTTTGGCCACCTATAATCTTAGCTGGCCTTGAGTCAAAGAAATGAAGCAAATGTGCTCAACTGAGAAAGACTCTTGGGGATCAGGAACGACTCTTGGGGATCTTCTCTTCTGTCCACATTTTGAGGTACTCAGAGGGAGACAGGGAAGGAGACCGGAATCCCTTCATAGCCCTGAAGCACAGGACAATTAAGAATGTGTATTCTAAAAAAATACATGTGCAAATGAAGGGCAAGGACTTCTCCCTGTCCATACTCATCCCGTATATGACAAGGTTCTAACGTACGAACCTGCTATTAAAATTCTATAATTGTGCCTGTGATGATTCGAACTCAGGATTGCTATTGCAGTACCTTAAATGGGGATGCCCCTCCCTATCAGAAGTGCTGATGGGAACCCAGCCCTGACATTAGCTCACAGCCCTCGCAGCCCCAGCACTTACAGGGTCTCCTCGCAGGCCCTTTGCTCCACGGTCGCCAGCAATCCCTTTCTTTCCTGGACTTCCCTAAAGGTAATAAGAATCAGAAGGACAAGAGAAGAATTTTTAATAACATTAATATAAACAAGGAGCTCATCTTCTCCATAATTTGAATAATTAAATTTTTTCCCAAAGTTACTTTTAAACTAGAAAGAGGGACAACCAAAAAAGAGTTTCAGGCACCACCTGAATAATTTAAGAGTGACCTCAATTATCTGCCACAGTGGTGAACTCTGTTCCTGACACATTTGTCACCTTGTTTAGTTTTTACAACTACTTTTTAAACCAGGTATTGTTTATTATCTTTCTTTTAATGAGGCAGCTGAGATTCAGAGAGACTATCCATTTTCCCCAGGGTGGTTGCATCAGCTGGAAAGTGAGTTTCTGACTCAACCATTCACATTCTAAAGATGGATAGATGGCCGAAGTATGGCTGCTGTTGGTATTTGTTCTAGATGGAATGAGTGGCGTACGCCTTCCATGTGCTGCCCTGCACCACAGACTCTTGTCAACACTCTGCTGCCGTTCTTGGTGTGGTAGCTGCTTTTCATGAATGACCCCAATTCTTCACTCCTCTCTGAATCTATGCTCTTTGCCATGTAACTGCAGTGCCTTCCAACTGTGTGTGTGTGTGGATGGGGGTGGGTAAGATTCCCTACCCCTGAGTTTGGCTGTGACTTTATTTGGCTGACAGAAAAATAAAAATGTCACTGTGAGAGTTCCAAGCCTGGGACTCAAGAAGTCTTGGTGAACTTGTGTGTTTCTACTTCCTCTCTTGTGCTTCTGCCATGACCATGAAAAGGTGAAAGGTCATGGTGAACATGGATAGGCAGCTGCCTGGTTCCAGGAGTAGGGTAAGAGACATGTGGAACAAAGCCCCCAGCCAACTTACAGACGCTGAGCCAAGGTTAGCCTTGCTCAGTCTAGATCAGGTTAAACTCTCAGACACATAAGAAATAAAAAGCTTATTGTTGCATGCGACTGAGGTTTTGTGATTGCTTGTCGCAAAGCAGTTTTGTGGCACTAGCTGACTGATACACCTGGGGTAGCTCATCTGCACTGTTAATCACATCTTTAATTCCCAGTGCAGTTTTCATGTTGTCTATTTACTGAATCCCTACCTGGGATCCTTCATCACCCTTTTCTCCTTTTCTTCCAGGAAGGCCATTGTCACCCTAAGAAACAGAGGAAGAAATTCAAATTCTCATTTTCTTAATGAGAAAATAGTTCAGAAAGGTCTTTATAGCACAGAGAGAGCTCTACCTGTACACCATTTAATCCATCAATTCCGCTTTCCCCAGCTTCTCCCTAAAAAGATAGATGTGATCAGAACAGAGTGCATTATATTTATGTGAAAGACATCAGAGACCAAACAAAAAGTCTAATTTTGTGTCCCATATACATACAGCCTCTTTGTTAGGCTAGCCTTGGGTAATATCAAAGATTACTTAGTAGTAAAAACTGTCAACAAATAATATACATTGTTTGCAATAAAATATAGGAATAAACAAAGTTAAATCACTGACAATAAAAAAGAGAGGTCAACAGAAACTTCATTTGTACAATCTACTGGTCAATAATCTCAAAAATAAAAATAGTTTTAGATGGCAGATGAGAAGATAAATGGATACATTTGGTACTATACCTCCTGTCCATATAGTCCCCTTTGTCCCTGAAAATAGAAAGGACAGCAGTGGTCAGTATAAGAAAAAGGAATTAATGTTGGGAAGACTTCACAATGTCTTATGCGACTCTTACCTTGGGACCTTTGGCGCCATAGCATCCCTTAGTGCCTTGCTCTCCCACTGGTCCAGTGGCTCCTCTTTCTCCCTGAGAAGGAGCATAGACTCAGGTGAATTTTTTCCATTGTAATCTGGAATCTGTCTTGGAAATCTAACAGGTTTTGTGTTGGAAAAAAAATGTGTGACTGTTGACAGCTTTGCTTTGCTTCAGATCCCATGTGGACACTGCCATGGGTGGAATAGTATCTAAATAAAACAGGCATACAAACAACTGGCAGCTAAGATGTATTCTCAAGATTTCAGGAGGTATTACAGGAACAGATAGCAAAAAATTGGTGAGACATCAGAGAAGGATGCTTCAGGTATGACCTAAGCAAGAGACATGATTTCTAGACCAAAATCCATCCTCCTCTTTTTTTCTTAAATAAATACTGCTCCTGCAGTTGTTTCATGGTAACCCCACCAGTCTGTACATCTTGTGAGCTGGAAACAAAGGTGTCATCTTCAGCTTCTCTCTCCCCAGTGGTCAATAACTTATGTCTATTCTACCTCCATTTATACTGCCCCAAACTAAGATTAGGACCACTTTGTCTTGCACCTACTACTGCATGATTCCCACCTGTAGTCCCTGCCTTATCACTATCCATAATATTGCCTGGGCATGCTTTCTACACCCATGCCCCCATCATTTTCACTTCTATGCATAACATCATTCAATGACCGCCCACCAACTGGAAGACACCTCCAAATCTTCTGCAGGGTATTCAAGACTCCCAATAGTTTAGGTCTCGCTTGACATATAATCTCCTCTCACTGTGTCCTGGGCTCCAGCTAAATTGATCATGTGCCATTGTGCAAACACACAATTCTCTGACTCAGTTACATGCCCTTGAACACACTTTTTCTCTGTAGTACAACGTTCTTGCCCACAAACTTTGCCTGGAGAAATTTCTATTTGTCCTTCAGATGTCTGCCCAACTGTCACCCCTTATTTGCTGTTTTCTTATCCTAAGCTTTAACTGCCACCAAGACTACTAGTTGAGGTTGTTAGGTATTTGTTCTGCTACACTCTGCCACACTGCAGCTCACTGTACCTCTAGTACAGTCCGTGTGTGACAGCTGGAACCATAGCTGTCTCATCTGCCTTTCCACTAGTCTGGAAGTTACCTGAGATAGGAACCATATTTGTCTTTTATTTATTGTTATTTCTAGGGCCTAGCACTGTGCCTGGCACTTGGTAAGATGCCTTAATATATATATGTTAAGTGAATAAATAAATTTGTGAGTGAAGACTTGGGTAAATAATGTGGTAATGGTAAGATGCTTCAGATATAATTGTTGAATGAATGCGTGGATGGATGGATGGATGGATGGATGGATGGATGGATGGATGGATGGATGGATGGGAGGGAGGGAGAGAAGGAAGGAAGGAGGGAGGAAGGGAGGTGTAGGCACTGTCCTCATTCTACAGATGGCCAAAGTGAGGCTCAGGGAAGGTGTGGGATTTTCCGAGGTCCCACAGCTGGCAAATAACATGGCCTGGGCACCCAGCGGTGGGATCAAAGCCCAGAGTTCTTCACACTGCTTTGGAAACCAGCACCCACATCTATCCCTTTACCACCCAGCCTTTCTTCACTTTAACCACTGGCTCAGCAAAAAAATAAAAATAAAAATAGTGGTTTTGTTTTGTTTTAAATGAGAGGCTAAGAAGGTATGCAAGGGGCCCTAATTGGTACATAAAAAAAATTCCAAGTTGATACAGTGGATATTTTGAGATTAAAAAAAAATTGACCATGAAAAGGCACAACATTTGTTGCTGTTCAGACCCAGTATAACAACATTTCCAGAACTGTTTCTATGGATCTGAAGATAGTAGATTAAGGGCAACTGACTTGGCAAAAGGCCTAGACCTGTTTTCAGACAATTCTCTTAGNGCAGTGAATTGGTTTACCTGTGCAAAATGTACAAGTAAGGGGGAAATGAGAGTGATCTGACACCTCTAGTGGGGAAGATAACTTCTGCATTGAGTTCATGGTGTCATGTTGGTGGATGGTGAAAGAGGAGACAGTAGGTTAATAGACTACCACTAATGATCACCTGAAGCAAAACCTGGTGGGGACTAGGAAAGACCTCTGATTTTGCACACAAATCCTTAGAATCTGACTTCCCTATGTCTCTCTGAATTGATACAAATGATTTCATATTGCAGATGTGTCCTTAGAAAGAAATGAGGCTCAAGAAAACCCTGGACTTACAGCAATGCCCTCCTCTCCCAGGTAGCCTTCACTGCCTTTAAAACCTGGGAGTCCCTGGAAATAAGGAAAGGAAGAAAAATTAGCATTCTGTAGAACTAAACCCAGAGGTAATCACACAAAATTTTTCAACTTTACGGTGTTACTTTATTTAGAAGAGTGAGAGTTTGAAAAAATTAGTTTTCTGCTACAACCTAGGCTGCATTTATACACATAAAAATAAGTGGAATTTTGAGACAACTATCCAGATAACTCAAGGGCGTGTAAATCACAATATTGTCCATAAGTCTCTCTGGGGTTACACATATTACTAGAGCTTTTGTTCAGACAAATGTTCAAATAAACATAGCCCCTGACAAACTAGAATTGCCCTCTTTTCATTAAAAAAAAGCTATTTTTAGGATTTATGCTACATTAAAAAAAAAAATAGACCACCCACATTTCTTTCCATTCTTTCTGAGTTCCATTAAAAAAAAAATTCTACCATTCTTTTTACTTGAAATAGAAGCAATCAGGAAATAATTAGTCCAAACACTTTCTTTAGAGACACAACCATGGTGATCTGGGAGTTATAGTGCTATCTATAAACTACCCAAAAGTCAAACACACATGGAAACAAGCTGTCTTGAAATCAGTACTAAACGCATCCACAGTATGTTTGTACATATTTGAACATATCCTAAACCCCCAAATCATAGTTTTACATAAGGGTACATAAACTTTTTTTTGTTAGGAAATATCTAAATTTGTTAGTTACTATTTCATAATTGGCCTGTTTTTGTCTACCCAGCTGTCATAACATTTTGGTCTGGCTAAAGTTGAATAGCACATCTTAATGCTAAGCACCAGCTATTTCAAGCCAGAAGTCTCCCGTGAGGCCAGCTCATTTTCCATCATGACTAGTCAGCAAGGTGCTTAAAATTACTTAAATTAATGTAAATGCAGACACGAGTTATCTCATGACCGGTCAGCAAGGTGTTCATTTTCTGCTAAAACAGGGCGATCTGATCTAGCTTGATTTTAGCAGACTACACAGAATATTCCCTACCCGATTTAAATGACTCTGCAGTCATTAAAAATGGACATTGAAATGACAACGGTATTCAGGAGCTTTTCCTTACTCAACGTGAGCAATGACAATTGATTTTTCTGCATCACTGTCTCCAATGCTAGAACATTCGATAATCAAGGACCTTAGCAGCTGTTTCTCCTGAGATTTGTACAAAAAGTTTTAGAAAGACTCCAATTTAGAACGCCAAGCAAAAGCCACAACTATCTAGTCTGACATATAAAAAGAGAAGTGTAACGATAAGGTACCTCAGAGGCTCTACCTAGAAGCTAAAATCACCCCTTATTTCTACCTGAACTCATGTCTGAAAGGCATACTACTTTCAGATAAAGTGAACCATACGTTTTAAAATTACCTTTTTCCCAGCTGGTCCAGGATCTCCCATGGTGCCATCTTCTCCAATACACTTGCAAAATAAACAACAGCAAGTCCTTTCGGCAACATTGACCTTGGGGGCGGGTGGGAAATACGTTACACCTGGTGGCCTTGCTTCCCAGTCCCACCTGTCAGCTAACATGAGGCAACGCTTAAAACACCCTTCACTGCCCCTCTTTCCTCCTGCAGCCTGCGTTCTCCACCAGATCGGGAATCCAGAACAAATTCAAAGACGCTTCTGTGTTCTCCAAATGGTGTCAGGTCAGCCACTGGCCAACTCAGTGCACGCTCATTCATTTATGGGATTTCCTGGTCCCACCCCATCCCAGCACTGACCACGGTGTTGTTTGTCGATCACCCTATATAATTCTACCCCCTCTATTTTGTTCAATAAAATGAACTCATGCTGTTTTCTTCGTTTCCCATCTTGTGAATTCTTTGTATGCTAGAGGGTAGACAGTGCCCAGTGTCACACAGCTGGTACTCACTTCCAGAGCAGTGTGTGTGACAGGATTTCAAAAATGCAAACCGCACGTTCAATAGGTCAGAGGGACTTGTTGTAGAGCCTGAGGGCATGAGGAGAGTGTCCCTCCAAAAAATCATATTCCAGTTACATTCTATGTTTTTCGTTGTTGTTTTTGTTTAACTTATTAAGAAAAAAGTTTATTGTAAAACAGTATATCATGTTATGCTGACAGAAGCCTCATACATCGCATGTTTATCATGTCTCTTTATTTTATTTTTTATATATTCTATGCCTTAAAATGTGAGTGACTTTCATCCTGGACCTAGTTAATCATCCACTGAATAATAGACATATTCCATTGCAGTTTAACAATTAACCCACAAAATTTATTTTTAGGAAAATTCTATTTTGCCACAGAATTTGCCACAATTTGCCTTGAGTGGGGTAGAATCAACCTTTGTGTTGAGAATTTTTCCATCAAAATTCTTGTGTGATGAGGAATTAAATCTTTTGTTATAACTATTTAGCAATTTCTCCTTTTTCTCTTATTGTATAATATTCCTTTTCTGGCATTAGAAATTTTTTTTCTGAAAAATTCAGAAAAACAAAAACACTTGAAACATATGAAATCAAATAATAACAACAACAAAATATATCCTTTGATTTCATATTTGATGTTAATTTTCTTTGGATCACTAAAATCCTACAACATCAAATCTTCTACTATTAACACTAAAATCAATCTATGTCTAAAATTAAGGTTTTCTTGTATAGTCTTGCATTTGTGTAATATTTAAAAACTGACAGGCTGGCTCATTTTGAGGAATAACTTCCTCTATCTGTGAATTACCACTACAGATTTCAAAGAGTAGTAGACAGAAAAGATATATTTTTAAAAATAAACAGTCTTCCCATGTACAAAGAAATCCCAACAAGACTTTCATATTCTTGAAGCAATTATTTTTGCAAAATTACTACACTGAACAAATTGTGTTTAAACATCTAATTATATACAAATTCTATAGGTGCACAATAGCAAGAGCTTGCACTTTATTGGAAAGTGTCCCAACATGCTAATTATAATAAGAAATTACAAATTATAGCCATTCATTAAGGTGAAAGTAGTACCACAAAACTTGATAACACTTAACCACTCTAGTTTGAATTCTTGTATGTTTCTGAAGGAAATATGATTGAGATGCATCTCATGTAGACATTAGGTTCTAAAAATAGATCATAAGGCAAAAATCTTGCTTAGTCAACGTAGCCTTCAGAAACCTTTTGATCGCTCATCAAGTACAACATACGAGGTCTATCATCGCATCACTAGTTTTTCCTCAACATTGGACAGCTGGCTCTTTCTCTGGTTAAACCCTAAATGTAATTGTCCCTCACTGACAGGCCATGCTGCAGGGAAAATACCCATCCTAGACAACAGAATCATCCTCAGTGTAGTGAGCTGTGACACAGGATCCACAGGGGATGTGAAAACTGGCTGGCTCAGGGAGCAGCTGATTGACCCTTAAATCTCACACTCTCTTTGGCACTTAAGTTCCTTGACTATGATTTGAGCAGGACCATAGGTGCCATTTAGTTGCTTCTTCCTTCTTTTTTGGCCAAGCATATAAATTGAACATGCTTTCACATATCTCTACTATATTAACGTTTCTTTCAAAACACCCTCTTTTATTTTGGCTGTCCGCTAATTCAGAAAAGTCTTTCTTCACACCCAAATGAGCAAAATTAGTTCAAATTCATAAGCATAAATATTAAACCTATATACAAAACAAATACAAAGTTTAAACTCACCTGCCTTTTCTGAATAACTTACCAAATGCTTTGACAATTGGCTCCCGAGATCCCTCATTCCAATAGTGAACTGGGTCCTGTACTCAAATCCTTTCCCAAATTCAATGTAAAGAAGATCAGCCAGGTCACTTGAGTCCGTGGCTCCAGTCAGAGCAACAGTTATGAGGGCATTCAGGCCTAGCCAACACAAGTGACAGTCCTCCAGGTGAGGTGCGTTGGGTTATTTTAATATTTCTGCACATATGTATCTAAACTGTTATTCTTGGAAAACAGTTGCAAGAGGAACACTCTTGATTGTCCATTTCCCCCAAACACAAGGTGTAAACCTGACAACTAACAAGACTAATCAGAGAACAAAAGGAATTACATTTTTCAGAACTAATTAAATTGGAGACAGGGGAACATATAAAAGTGAGATAGCAAATTTAGAAGGGTCCATAGAGCATACTAAAGTACAGAGGAATTTATATATCAATAAATATTCTAAAATTTTGCTGCTCAAAGAGGGATCTTTGGAGCAGTAGTGCTGGCATCACCTTGGAGCTTATCAGAAATACAAATCTCAGGCCCCATCCCACTCCTACGGAATCAGAATCTGCATTTTAATAAAAATCCCTAGGTGATTTGTATGCACATTGAAGTTTGAGAAGCACAGATCTAAATGACCACAGAAGAAATTGGTAATCCAGTTGGAATTGCAGGTAGCAAAAGACAGTAAACCTCTTGTCAGGCTATTAGAAACAAATGACACGTAATTGTCAAGAGCTACAGCTCACACAAAGGCTTTGGAACTTTTATAGACCAGAACGTTTCAAAGAAAACTTTTAGGGACTAACAGGGTTGGTTTATTTTGCAAAGTAAGAACATTAAATACCAAAAGTAATACACCTGGCAATCATTATGGTAGAGGTAACCACAGCAACAATTGTGCTCTCATTTATTAATCGTTAGTATGTGCCCAGTGGTTCGTTACGTGCTTTACATGCATTATCTTATCTGTAAGATACAAATACAATTGTGTAGGTATGCACAATTATAATTATGGTTCTATTTCATAGACAAGCAAACTGAGGTTTGCAGAAGTTAAATGATTGACTTTGAATGGAATTTTTAGGTTTCTGCCCAGATAGCCCAATTCCAAAGCCTAGACTCAAAGAACATTTTAATAACAAAAAAAGGAATTAAGGACATAATCATAGAGTAAAGAGCAGTCCTAAAATTGAATAAACCGAGGGAGGCAATTGAGGGAGGCAACCCATAGATTTCTCTCTCTCACTCCCCCTCTCCCTTCCTCTTTCTCTAAAATCAGTTTAAAGCCCGGCTGGGCGTGGCTCAGCCGTTGAGCGTCAACCTAGGATCCAGGTGATTGAGGTTCGATTCCCGGTCAGGGCACATGCACATGCCTGGCTGCGGGCTTGATCAATGACTCTCTCATCATTGATGTCTCTATCTCTCTCTCTCCCTCTCCTTTCCTCTCTCTGAAATCAATAAAGATATATTTAAAAATAAATAAGTAAATAAAATCAGTTTAAAAAACCAACATATCCTCAGGTGAAGATTAAAAAAAATAAACTTTAAGAAACTTAACTTGATAAAAACCCGACTCCACTGGCATAAGTTATCCCATTCTTCTTATGGATGGCTAAAGAATTCTTTGGACGGGACATGGAAACCAATGGACTAGAATAAAGAAATGTTCAAGGACTTGACTGAGATTATGAATGCCTTCTGATAGAAGTTTATACATGATTTTGAGTGAAGGGAGGGATATATGAGAAGGAGAATGCAGAGAATAAAGTTTCAGGGACATATGGGGGAGGCTCAAGTTCTAGGAGGGGAAAACAGAGTGGCTGGCTAAAGTGAAATAAAGGAAGAAACACCAGAAAACAGGGTGACCAACTTGTCTCTGGCTTGTCTCAAGCAAACAAGGACAGTTAGTTACTCTTCCAAAAATGAAGATGAGAAAAGGGATGGTGGTGTGGGCTGGGATAGGCAATCAGGAATGCTGATCATCAATTGGAGTAAATGATAAAGAGATGCACGTTAATGGGTTTACTTATAAGGAAAAAAAATCTCACATCTGATTCTAAGCTCCAGGAAATTTAAGAGTTATGAGAACCATGGAATTGTTGATTTGCCGGAAATATTCATATAACTTATTTGTTACTGCTTTTCTCAGGATGGGGAGTCCAATCTTACTCCTTTTAGACTCATCCAATAAATGAGTCATATGATCTTAAATACGGTGTTTTTAATTCCAAAAAATAAATTAAGGATGAAAAGATTTCAAGAATTAGGGAGATAAATAATCACTGAATAGATTCTAGAGTATTAGATTTTTAAAAATTAAGAAATTAATTCAAACCACAATCCACATGGATTAGTTGTAAAGCCATATCCACCACTGGGGATCTTTTTCTCCTGTATCTCTTCCAGTTCCATGTTCATTGCATAGTTTCCACGTGTAAAATATAGCAGCTCACATGGCCCCAAATTAGGGAGGCTCTCTTAGGTCAATAGATCATAGGTCCCAGCATTACCAGAAGTCATGTGTGTTTAGATATGGGAAGCCAGAGCTAGAGATAGCCTTATCCATTTGACACTTTTCCAAGCACAGTATGGCCATCATCCCCTTATCTCTCCCCAAAGATTCTGAATTTCTGAGGATATGAAAACTCTAGCTTCTGAAGTTGAAATCCATTTACTAAATTTTCCTCTGGAGCTGGAAGAATGAAGATTGGTCTTAGAAATCTGGGTGTTCCGTGAGAAACTTCCTGGAGAAAACTCTGATGTTGTAAGAGATACATCTTTTCAAAAAGAAAAGCTGAATTAAAAAACAAAAACAACAACAACAAAAAACCTACTTACCCAAACTAAGCACTCTAGGGTCTTAATCATTAAAATTCCCACTACAGCTCATGAAAGAAATGCCAAGGCTTGACAGAATACAGAGAAAGCAGCTCCAGTAAATAAAGGGCAAAATAAAAATCCTTATCCTCCAGCTGTAAATTCTGTGAACTTTGCAATTTGTTTAAGATTTAAGAGAGAAAACCAAATAGCAAAGACCAAATCCTGTCAGTCTCTAATAACTAAGCTTAGAGACAGATGTCTTAGGTCAGATCATCTGGAAACAGCCTGAGATAGCTATTTGGCTGCACACACATATTGAGGAAGCACTCTCAGAAGAAAGGGGTGAGGGCGGGGCAGAGAAAGGAGTTGAGCAAGACAGTGTTTCAGCTGGAGCCTAGCACCAGCCTGATCTCATGAGGAGCTTGGAGCGTAAATAGCATCACATGGTGCTGTTTTGAGGCACAGGTCCAACTCTTTGTACTCTACCTGCTGCCCACGGATGGGGTAGGGAGTAACCTTCCAGGTGAGGTGGCTCCCACTGACCAAGGGAAGGGGGACCTGTGAGCTGTCAGCAGCCAACACTCACAGCTGGAGAATGAGGGAAGCTGGCTGGAAGAGGGAAACTAGGTGGGGCAACAACGACATCCAAGGACAGGAAAGTTTTTCTATTCTTAGTCAAACGAGAACATGTGGATGCCTTTTTCTTCCACTGATCAATATTTTAGCAAGAACTGACAATAAACCAGATTGGGCACTGGCTCTTGAAGCCAAACATGTGTGCCAGAGCTTTAAAAGCTCATAAACACCATGGTTGGTCTATCTGTGGACTGAAGAAAGGAACTGATTACAAAGCCCTAAACCATGAGAAAACTTGTCCGATAATGCTTGCAACTCTGAAAACTTTCAGAGTGTTGAAGAAAAATAATCCCACTCTCCCATTCCTTGGTCAAAAAGAAACACATGGTTCACTTCTGCTGATACTACAGAAGTAACAATATTAGATTATGAGAGGCAAGGCTGGACAGGAACACTCTCCAGGAACGCTTGGGATGAAGAAATACAGTAATATGAGAGAATAGGACTTTGTGTTCAGTGTTGTTTTATATACGTAGGGCACGAAGAATAAAAGTAGATGCCAGAATATTCTGAGAACTCATTTGCTCTGCCAAATGTATGGAGAATGGAAAGTTTGGCAAATTCAGGGTTGAGTGCCTGGAAACTTAAGAGCCAGAATTGAGTTCTGAGATTATAAAATCAATAAACATCCCTTTCCCACTTTTCCCCCATGTTCAATACCTTCTTTTCTAAGCTCATCAGATTTTTGTTCAAGTTTTTCAATATCATCATCCAATCCATCCGAAAATAAGAGAACCACCTAGAAAAGTATTCAAGAAGGAAACATGAGTAAAAAGGTCATTGTAACCATAGACCAACAAATACAATAAAACCAAGTTACCTTGCCTCGAGCAGCCGATTTATTCTGAAAAGCATCCCACAGGGAACTCAAGAAATTTGCATTGAGAAAAGATGGTCCTTTAACTGTTACATCCTTCAAGCTATTCAGTATGTTTTCACTGTAGATCTCAAACTTGGGGGAATATTTTTCCATGGCATTGGTCACTTGAAAAGCCATGCTAACCTGAGTCTCCGTGCCCACCTCACAGCTAACCCCATTAAGGGAGCTGACTGCATGTAAGATGTCTTGAAGGTAGGTTTCCATCCAAGATTGACCATCGAGAAAAGTCTGCCCCTTCTGCTGAGTTGAGATGTCAAATCCTATCACAACATCCACAAAACAATCTAGGATTCAAGGGAAAAACATATATTAGTAGATCAAATAGCCCCCTTATTTGACTTGGATGCCATCTCTGAATCAAGGGACTTGGAATTCTTATTTCTATTCCAGTTAATAAGTTGAAATACAAGAAAGAGCATAAGGGAATCATGGAAGAGGCTCAAAACCACTCATTCATCACCTGTAAAAGTATAAGTATACAGTATTATTATTTTTAGTTGGTATAAAATCTAGGTGGTGCTATAACAGTTAAAGTTCTGAAAAATTTTATTGTGGCTATTGAAAAAGCTATGCAGAGTCATTTAAATATCTCAAGTATGTTGTGGGAATATTAATAGTCTAAAATAGCAAATTCATATCATGCTACTTATCAATTCAGGTCATTCAACAAATACTAAATTATAAGGGAAATATAAAAACATTTGCATATAGCAAGTCATTTATAAAAAAGAAACCACAAAGAACTTGTTTAAAGGAATGACTTTGTTGATTTATCTTTCCCAAAAGAATCTGTTTCCTCTGTCTTCTAAAATCCACTCAGAGAAAAAAAAAGTTAAAAAGACAAACAAATGCTCCAAGAGATCGTTTGAGATCTTGCTTGGTTTAGGTCCTACAAGTGAAGAAACTGGGCACCAAATAACCCACATTTAACCATGTCAAAGATGGAGGTGCCTTCAGTGCTCAGCCAGTAAGGAAGGCAAAGCCAATGCCATTTGAGGGTTCAAGAAATACTCAGGGAGGTACTGCATTTAAAATGCTTTGCTCTTGGAGAGAAAATAATGGCGGCATAGGTAACAGCTGCACCAGCCGCCTCCAGCAACCACATCAAAATTACAACTAAAATACAGAACCACCATCATTCAGAACCTCCTGAGATCTGGCTGAACAGAAGCCCCGCAACCAGGGAACTGAAGAAGTACCGAGACCGGTAGGAGGGGCGCAGACGAGGGCAAATGGGGGCTGGATTGTGGAGACGCAGCCGCGGTTCCACACCCAGTGCCGTGGGTTAAACCCAGGAGGGAATCTTGGTGGCGGAGGTTTCCTGGAGGAGCGAGGGGCCCCAGCCCCACAGCAGGCCCCCAGCCCAGGGCCCCAGGGTCCCAGGGCTGGGAAGAGACGTCCCCACACCTTCGGGCTGTGAAACCAGTGGGGACTGTCCCTGAGGGTCGTGGAGACTGCGGAAGCCCCCGAAGCTCCTCCTAAAGGGCCCGCGCATGGACTCACTCAGACGCGCTCCCCCTGAGCCCAGTGCCCCGCAGCAGCTTGAAAGGACCTGGGACATTTGGGGAGAAACTAACCTGCCTGAAATCTGGGCGAGAGCTGGAGGGGCAGCTTTCTCCCAGGCAGAAGAGCTGGCAGAGGCCATTGCTGCTTTGGCAAGTCCTCCCCGCACACAGCCGGCAGGCAGGCGCCATATTTGAATCGCCAGCACCTGACTTGCACCCTTGGCCCCGCCTCGTGATTCCCGGAGGCCCCGCCCCTCCCCACCTGCAGCTCATCCAGGCTGTTTCCAGGGGCTTCTGTGCAAGTGGCCTCTTGAGCCTCATGCTTAGGACTTTCCTAAAATCTCTCAAACAAGCCGCAGCAGGCCCCATACAGCTTGATAAGCGGCCCCAGGCCTGGCACTAGTGGCAGGCTGCATTGGCTCATAGCTTGGCCTCTCCTGGATTACAGCCCTTCCACATCCCCGAGTGACACACTCAAAGGGTGCACTTGGTGAACACCAAAGCCCCACTGAAGTAAATCCTGCTCCGTAGGGGTGTCTCCAGCACAGCAGCTCTTTGGCTGTAGTTGCAGCTGGTCCTCACAGCTGATTGGCCTGGGGGTCAATGATGCCAACAGCAACCAAGGCTCAACTACAACAGGACAGTGCACACAGCCCACACAGGGGAGCACCTAGAAGGCCCAGCTCAGGTGACTAGGAAGGCTGAGCCACTGGACCCTCCAGGACACCTATTACAAAAAGCCACTCTACAAATTCCAGGAGACATAACAGCTCTACCTAATACATAGAAACAAACACCTGGAAGCAGCCAAAATATGGAGGCAAAGAAACATGTCACAGAGGAAAGAACAGAAGAAATCTCTAGAAGAGGAACTAAATGAAATAGATCCAAGCATGCTAACAGATACAGAGTTCAGAATTTTGTTTATAAGGATGTTTAAGCATACTATTAGGGAAGTAACTGAGAAAATTGATAACATAATAAAGTACCAATTTGAAATGAAGGCTACACGAACTGAAATGAAGAATAATTTACAGGGAAGCAACAGTGGAGTAGAGGACACTGAGAATCAAATCAGCAATTTGGAACATGAGGAAACAAAAACACCCAACCAGAAGAGCAAAAGGAAAAAAGAATTCAGAAATATGAAGATAGTATAAGGAGCCTCTGGGACAACTTCAAGAGGCCCAACATTTGTATTATTGGGATACCAGAAGGGGAAGAAAGAGCAAGAAATTGAAAACCTATTTGAAAAAATAATTACAGAAAACTTCCCCTACCTGGGGAAAGAAATAGACTTACAAGTCCAGGAAGCACAGAGGGTCCCAAACAAGAGGAACCCAAAGAGGCCCACAGCAAGACACATCATAATTAAAATGCCAAAGGTTAAAGACAAAGAGAGAATCTTAAAAGCAGCAAGAGAAAAGCAGTTAGTTACCTACAAGGGAGCACCCATACGACTGTCAGCTGATTTCTCAACAGAAACTTTGCAGGCCAGAAGGGAGTGGCAAGAAATATTCAAAGTGATGAAAAACATGGAACTACAACCAAGATTGCTCTACCCAGCAAAGCTATCATTTAGAACTGAAGGTCAGAAAAAGAGCTTCACAGATAAGAAAAAGCTAAAGGAGTTCATCACCACCAGACCAGCACTACAGGAAAAGTTGAAGGCTCTTTTTTAAGAAGAAGCTAATGAACAAAAGAATCTGACGAACTAAATAGATCCAGAAACATTGACACATACAAGAGACGATCGTATTTCAGAGGAAAGAGGGAAGGGAGGTGGAGGGTGGGAAGAGATTAACCAAAGAAGTTATATGCATATATGCATAACCCATGGACACAGTCAATAACGGGGTGAAGGCCTGGGGAGGGGGTGGGAGCGAAGTGGAGGGGGTCANGTTAATATAAGGGGGTGAAGGCCTGGGAAGGGGGTGGGAGCAAAGTGGAGGGGGTCAATTGGGGGGATAAATGGGACACCTCTAATACTCTGAACAATAAAGATAAATTAAAAACAAACAATAAAATAAAATAAATAAAATAAAATACTTTGCTCTTATTCTTATCAACTCCCGGGACATTTAAGCACTGGAGAAACTAGAAGGGGCTTGATATTTTAAGCTGAACCTCATAAAGGGAAAATAAGTGAAGAATAAAGTCATGTGACATATATACTCTTGTTTCAAGAACTTCTAGCTTGGTTAAGAACTTCAACCTTTTCCAATAAATTCAACACATACCGCTTGCTTGGTAAGTGTATATTTTCAATTTGCTTTGTTTAGATAAGCAATTTTTCAGATATTTGTTGTGTGAATAAATGCCTGCCTTTACTACCTCCAGACACACTGGCCAGTTGAACATTTGCAAATCTCTGAAACTAAAATGTCAGTTTCAATTCTTAAAACAAAGGCCAGTAACTTGATTCATTTTTAATGAGATAGAGTCAGGTGAGGGGAAATGAAAGTCTTATTTGATAATCAATTTTCACTATGACATTTGAAGTGAATCAATATGTTATCAAAAAAATCTGAAACGTGGGTTTTCTTATTTTACTGTACTTACTTTATTGGAAAAACCTCTTCTCTAATATTCAGAAAGTGAGATGAAGAGAAAGAAACTAGTTGGGAGGAAGCATCAGAATATGTCCTTTCCCAAGTTCCTCTTGAATATATATCCTTTCTTTTTTATCTTGAGATTGAAAATTTCCCTCTTGGATGAACATTGTTTTAACCTCTGAACAGAAAACCATTCAGTAACCAAAATATGTTACTGCTTTCAAGGAAAACAGTCTCTTGTGAAAAAAAAAAACAAACATTGGCAGAAATGTCAAAATGTCATTGAGGGATCCGGGGAACTGTCCCCTATAAAAATGGAGTATTTTTTGTCTAGATTACCAAAAGTACAAACTCTAGTAAAGAATTATCTTATGTTTCTTTAACTTATTCAAATTGACAAATAACTTCATAATAATATGATCCAAGGAACAGAATTTGGGGAACAAGTCTAGAGTTGGCAGCTATGCGTCTAAATATAATTAGAGGAACTAGCCATACTAAACAAGTGGACCCTCATGTAATGGCCTTGCAAACTCTACAGAGACATCTGCTCTCAAATTAGGAGCCTTCACAGTTAATAAGAGGCAGGGATGGTTTGGGAATTGAGCTAAGGAGAGGCTAAAATTGGATTTCCAAAGAGAAATGTAGGGTTCAATTAGGATAGCAGGAGTGAGAACAGAAGAAGGGTAATAAGTGCGAGGGAAATTAAGAAAGTGATTCATAGGACTGGCTATAGAGGGTGATAAAAAGGAGAAGTAATATTAGTGTTCTAAGCATTGGGCTAGTCTCACAAACAGCGTGTGGAGGCCTGGAGCGGGAGGTCTTTGAGTGGGAAGACACAAAGTTTATTGTTAGTCATGTACCAGTTATGACTCTGTTACTGCTAAATGACTTGGCAAATCTCTAACCTCCGGGCATTAATTTTCTTGCCTATAAAAATAAAATTATGTACTTGAAAATAAAAATACAAAAGAACAGAAAAGAATGGATTGGAGTGACAGTTATAGTCTTATGGTTTCCTGCCAGACCCAAAAGCTGATTTTAATTATCTGACTTCGGAGTTGATGATGGCAGATTCTTATTAAGAAATACTGTCAGGAGAGTGAGATACATTAATAAGATTAGAAGACAGATTCTTGAGACAATAAAGAGGAAAGTCAGACTGCTGGCAGTTATTAGCAAGGATAAAAAATGTGTGTGTGGCCTTTGAAAGAAAGGGTATCTTAGATTAAAAAAAAAAAAAAAAAAGGGATCTAGAAAACAGTTACTGTAAAAAAACCCAAATTTATATACCTCCCAGATTTGCTTGGACCTCTTGCTCCCAAAACCACACACCCAAGGACTTGGACATTTATCCAATGGAAAGCCTCAACTTCCACCATTGTCTGGTCTCCCGACGATGTGTGGGGGTGGGGAGGGCTTGGACATGGCCTCCATCATGCTCACTGCAGTAGGTTCACAATCATTCCAATGCCCATTCTCCAACCCAACTGTCCTCATGGGAGTTCTGGCTCCTTCCACCATGCCCAGCCACAGATTAAAGCACTGTGGGCTCTGTATCTGGTTTCCCCAAAGGGCTGGATAACACAGCACAGTCGGGTGGGAGAATTAACTCTCCATTGGGTAAACTCTGACCAGTGAGAGGCCATGGATGGAAAGAACTGGCATATTCATCCCCTCCCCTATTCCCAGGAAGAACTGGTCTATACAGTGGTTCTCTATGGCTTCCTTGGTGTTCTGCATGACCAACATGCTGGTTATGCCTTCTCAAGAAGCTGTAACTAGCTTGGTAACATACATCTTGTACTACTTTCTCTCCTTTCCTGTATTACTTCCCTTCCACTCACTCTTGCTTCCCTGGGATTGTACTTCCACGACTGTACTTCCATCAAAGTATTAGCACATAAAGCATAGCACAAACTTTGCTTTGAGCCCTTTTTTCTAGAGAACCCAGTAATCACAGGGACATACAGAGATCCTTGTCAAGACAAGTTGGAAATGACCATTTAATTTTCTTTATAGTTCCCATCTTCCTTGAATTAAATCCTGGGGGTGTCTCTTACCTCATCTTAATCAGACAGGCCTTTTGTTTAATCTCTTTTTCGATTCATCTATCCATTACGATGCAAAAGATAAGAGGTACTCTTGATTCTTTGGCTACCTCATTACGGCTCCATGCCAAAAAAAAAAAAAAAAAGGCAGGACTTTGCTATTCCCAGAACTGCTTGGTCATTTCTAGGTAGTAAGAATAACCAGGCTTAAAGAAAAGTCAGGAAAATAACATGAAAGAAGGTTAAAAACAGTAACAACAAAAAACAGACTTCGAAGTTTAGTTGCTTAGGGGAATCTGGTATGTGTTGAGACATTACATTTGAATAGGCTCTAAAATGTTGCTAAGATATTAAAGTTCCTAAACCAAGAACACTTGGTAAATTGTCCTTCTGTGAACCAACTCCCTGTATTTTGCATTTACAGGGTCACTTCAATATACCCTCTGCAACACTCTATGACAGTTATTAAAACTCACTGAACATTTACCACGTACTTTCCATTCATGATCTCATCTATCCTTCTGAAGCATAGACTACATTGGAGCTCTTCTGATACCCCTTCGCCTGAAGAGGGCGCTGTGACAGAGCGGGCTTGCCCACAGTCTGGCGCTGTGGATCTCACACTTGCAAATTCAGATCTAGGCTTGTCTGGAGTCCATGTGCCAACCTGCCTTACTTTACCACTTCCCCGGGTAGCCAGTGATGACAGGTCAGGTAAGTTACTAGTTCTGCTACTAGATTGTGATGTTGGAAGTGACAGCTTAACAGTAAGTGGTTTCCTCAGGGAGCATCAGCTTACGGAAACAACTTTAAGGTACAACCCCCTGATGTCTTAAGTTCCAGATAAAAATTGGGGAAGCAGAATGCTTAGGCACTATTTCTTTATTAACAGCAGCATCAGACACTCTAGACAACAACTAGGTCAAGAAAACAGGCAGCTTAATTTAACAACAAAAAACTGGGTTGGAGTCAGACAGACCTCGGTTTAAAAATTTGCTTAGCCAGTTACTTCCTGTATGTTCTGGGTCAAATTAGCAATACTTCTTTGAGTTCCATTTTCCTCATTTATAATTGGAAATAAAAATATAAACCACATAGGGTTTGGGGAGAATTTAATGAAATAATGCACTTAAAATGCTTAGATCACCATGCTTGATCCTTCCTAGGTGCTCCAGAAATACTGATCCTCAGTCACTTCCCTCATATCTCCATGCAGCTCACCTTCCTTCACACATATTAAATCACAGGGCACAATCAGAGAAACGGAGATGATGTAACTTCACAAAAGAGAAAACTAAGGGCTAGTGGTGTCCCCAAGTTATGCATATTTTAATAAGAAGCAAAGCTAGATGTTCAGGCTGTGAGTGTGATTCGCTTTGAGCCACACCAAGCTACCGTCTGATTTCCTTGAGTTGAGAAACTATGGTTTAAGAAGAACAGGCATCCTCTCATAGATTTGCACATGCCTTTGAAGCTTTATCAGTGTTCATTCCAGCCCCTTCAGTCCTCAGCCCACGGCTTAGCTACAAAGGCCTCACATTTTTGCTGGCTGCAGTAATGACTTCAAGTTTATCTTACTTTCCTTATTTATCTATTTATTTTTATGCTCACAACTGTTTCCTTTAAAGATAACTGGCACACTGCTTGGAGCATATACTCTTGGCCTTGGTTTTTCCACACGGTTTTCTTTTACTTTCTCAAGTAGAGACTAGATGGTTCTAAGAGAATTTTCTGCCTAATAAGTGGAAATGGGTATTTCATGTGAAAGAGAAGTTAATGTAGAAGGTTTGGCTGAAGACACCAGACACATAAAGTATGGGGAGATTATGAGGCAGGATTTATAACTGATCAGCTATGGGACTCTTAAGCTTTAGCCTACACACTGGGTCTTAGGAAAGGTTTGAACCTGGAGTTCAGAAAAGCATTTTGGGAGAGCGCTGTTGATGTGTAGTGAGCTCTCCTGCCACATACACAGATTTACAAGGAAAGGAAGTCGTTTTCTCTTTAACTCAAGAGATAACTTGGAGATGACACAAGCCTATACGTTTTAAAGAATGAGATACAGGATCACATGCTGCTCTCTCTGCAAAAGAGAGGTGGCCACACTGGGGGTGGGGACACATAACTTCCAGCGTTTATCAGGGAAATTGCTATGTTGTTTCCCGTGTTGCTGCTGTGGTCCTGTGTAAGGAAGAGCTGTTGTGGGCTCCTCTGATCTCCTGTCCAACAAGGCTACCTGGAGGGGCAACGAGATGGCAGGAGAATAAAGCTGAAGGCATTACCATATGCTCAGAGGCTGAGGGAGGCATAGGGAGTGTCAGGAATTGAGACATGCTTATCTTCCTTGAAGGACCTATGGTGGAAAGATCGTCTGACATCTGTGCTTTGGTGGGGATGGAGATGATGGGGGCCAGGTGGGGAAATCTTTGAAGGACCCAGGAATGGATCCAACTTTAGACATGAACTACCATAAAAGAAAATCAATTCCTGACAAAAGCCATCAACTGCCAACTTCCCTGTACCTCTTTAGCTCTTCTCCCTCCCTCAGCCAGTTCTGGGGAGGCCAGAAAGCATGGTTAGCAAGAAGAGGAAAGGGCCTGGGAGAAGGGGGTAGAAATGAGAGGTGGGAGCAATGGCTAAAATGCCAACCACATGTGGCATCTTCTCTGTGCCAGGTGAGCAGCCTGTGGCAGGCTAGGAAAGTAGAGTAACCTTGAACGAAGTTTGAAGTTTTAATAGTTACCAGTGTAACTGGACACATACACTAATTACCAAGAAGAGGTTCACCTATCTCTTGAGAGTGAGTAGAGGGGCAAGAGAGGAGGTGGCCCCCATGGATAAATTTCCTAAGTCAGTGGTAGACAAAAATAGAGTACTTTATAATTACATCCCTGGTGTCATGCTTAATCAAAGGAAAGTTTAAATATGCATTTTCTCATTTAAGTTTCACAATAATCTTTTGAACTAGGCGCTGCTACGTGTTCACATTTTACAGATGAGAAAATCAAACTTATAGAAGTTAAGGAACTCGTCCAAGGAAAAATGCCCATTGAACAGGGATTTGCAGCCAGGTTGCCTGTCTTCAGAGCTGCCTCTTAATCATGTAAGCTTTTCTCCCCCTGGCGAAAATCCAGGTTAGTGTTTACATTATACAGAATCACATCCAACCTTTCGGGCACTTTTATAAAAGTAGAAAAAGTTATCCTTCCTTCGAAACCTTTCCTTTCATCTGTTGGGAAAAAATGTCAAGATGTGCTGATTCTTGAGAAGTTATTTACTAACTTCTGCAGTAAAGTTTCATAATAAAGATATAACCCTCTAAAGGCATTCCCCGCATCCCGGCATCACAGCACTTGGTAGTTCTGTAGGCCCTACTGCCAGGCAACCAAAATCTGCCCTTTAGTTTATTTCTTTGATACCTGTTCCCCAGCCTCTGAAACCAACCGGATTGTAAACAAAGGCTTTTTCCTCACAGCTTCTGAAATCAAAGGATTCCCATGCACAAAGCGGGCATGCTCTCCCAGGAGACAGGGAAGAAAAAAGACAAGTCTCTCAGACGCCTTGTTTCTCAACCCACAAGTAGCAAAAAAAATACTCGATAACCATGAAAAGTTGTTTGAAATCCAGAGGCACAAATGTAAATTCTCCCACCAGCCATAAACAGAACTTCGGGAAAATGTCAGTGAAGGGGGGTGGGGGGGTAAACATGAGGGACACATTTGAATACTTACTGCTGTCACCCCCTGTGGTACAGATGTTGCGAATTATCCTTTTCTTGGCCTTCTGTAGTTCATCAAAGTTATCAACCGTCAGCTTCTTACTTGCAGTCCCGCTGATCTGAATGAGCTGCTGGTCGTCCACTTTCCCGATGCCCACAGTGTAGATGTCAATACCTTTGTGTCTCAGCTCTTCTGCGGCCTGAGCCACCTCATCTTGGGACTGGCCATCTGTGAGGAGCAGCAACACCTGTGGGGTACCTGCATTCATCCGGCTGCCCATGTCTGGCTGGAAGTAATGCCCCACCATCCGGAGCGCAGCGCCGATGTGTGTGCCTCCATAGATCTGCTGGATGTTTTCAATCTGAAATGATACCTCCTTTTTGCCTGTGAACTTTCCCAGTGGAAACTCTGGCCGATAGGTATGGCTAAACTGGGCCGCTCCTATTTGCACTCTGTTGGCACTGACACCAAAGTCTTGAACAACAGATGCCAAGAACGCCTTCATCTTCTTGAAGTCATCTGAACCAATGCTATTTGAACCATCTATGAGGAAAACTAGATCTACTTTTTCAATTTCACAACCTACAAAGAAGAGGCAAAAGAACAACAACAAAAAATTAGATTGTTCATCTTTCACCCAGCCCGAGTAGGTTAAATGTTTGCAGCTATATAGAAATGGTATTTCTGAAAGTGGTTTCTTATCTTAGGCTGCCCTGTGGTCACATTAATTGAAGAGGCAATAAAAACAATCAGTTCATAAAGGTGGCACTAGGCATGAACAACTCTCCCGTCTTTTTATTCTTCTCTGAGCTTTTCCATTTGTTCTTAGATCTAGGGGTGGGGGTTTTTACAGAGAACTTGATTTTACCTGCAATCTAGCCTTGACCCTTCCGGAAAACCCAGTGATAGTAGTAGCACAGCAAGAAAAATAAAATAGCTCATATCCATTTAGAGCTTCAAACAAAGAGACAGATGGTCTGTAGTACTGACTTGGCCTCCCTGGCCAGTTGAGCCAATAAGTACTTTCCTAGTTTAAGACAAATTGAAGTTTTAAAATAATGCCTTCTGACCTATCTCTTGTCAGTTTTCCTCTTTATCAGCCCCCTTTCTGGTACATATAGGCAACGATATCTACTTGAGAATAATATTTTTGAACAAACAATGCAGTATAGTTTAGAGACATTTCCTTTGTATTCACACAGAAAATACAAAACAAAAAGAATATGAAAGGCCATTGCCAGTGAATGAGTTATGCTTGGCACATGATCATGTGTATCCCTCAGCCTTCTGGTAATCATTAACATTTCCCGGAATTCCCAAGAGGTCTCACCACTGACCCAACTCACTTAAATCTCATTTTACCCTCGTGAAAAATGGAAGGTGTCTGAGAGTCCCACAGTTGACATATGCAAGAAAGAGACAACAGGAAATGTGATCCTTCAGGAACTGGTTAACTTAGTTTCTTTGTTTCAGATTCAAATAAAGGAAATAAAGTACTTTGGCCTGACAAAGGGAGAACTTTCTATTTAAAAATGCAATGTCAACTTCTACAGTGAACTTGAACAGGACAGATTGAATTTTAGGCATTGGCCACTGAAAGGTAAGAGATTTGTCCCCATTTTCAGCAAGACCCAGAAAGAGTTTGTTTTGTGAAAGAAAAAGATAGTAGTTGCATTCTTAGGAGGCAATGCATGTGAAAACCAGAAAAGTTAATTTTTAAAAAGAACTGCACCAAGATGTTGGAATCCTAAATTAATAGCAATTCATCTAATAAAAAGTACTCAGTATTTTTAGTATATAGTACAGTTAATAAAAATAAGGAATTTTGATAGACCATGATCTTCATTTGAAATGGTGTAAAATGACAGTTGAATGAATGAATGAATACATACATACATACATACATACATAAATGTGGCAATGCAATCTCTGGATGCTGGAACAGAAACAGCATCTAGGCAAAGGAAGTCCTGCTGTACTCTGCTCTGGCAATATCTGAGGCTGGAGTAGAATGTTTGTTATTGGGTTCCATGTCTTAAACATGCTTGTGTCATAACAGAAATAGGGGAAGGAACTAGGGACTTCCAGCCTGGAGGAGAGAAGACTTCAGGCAATGATCACTGGTTGTTGGAAGAGATGGAATTTGATTTCTAGTGTAAAGAGCAGGAAGAAGAACTAATGGACGGAAATGACATGGAAACACATTTGTGCCCCAATAAATAAAGCTTACTCAGACAATGGTGAATTCCTCATCATTAGAAGAGTTTATGTGGAAGTGAGTAGGAATGTTGCAAAATGTATTCCTTTGGGGAGGAGGCCAAACGAGATGCCCTACAAAGCAATTAGTGCTTCTCACCTGTTTGGAGAGCTTGCTCCTGAGGGACACTGCTTTCTCCCTCATTTGAACCTCTGCTGATAATTAAGAAAAACTTAACTGACAAACCTTACCTACTTGTGAAGAGTTACACACACTGGCTGACAGGTCCGAAAATATCCCCTTCAGGCCTCCAAAAGTCTTCACGAAGAAGTACTTGTCACTTGATCCCGCCATGGCGAGCAGCTCCACGGGATTAGCATCATCGATCCCCACGGCCAGGACAAGAATGCCTTTGTCTCTCAAGGCCTTGGCTGTGGCGTTGAGCTTTTCTGTATCATGGGATTCCCCATCGGTGATCACGATGAGGACTTGGGGGACCCCTCGGTGCACGCGGCTGCCACGGGCTTCGGTGAACATGTGGTCCGAGAAGGCTAGTGCCTCAGCGGTGTACGTGTTGCCCCCCTTGGGGTGGTCATTCTGGAGTGCTGAGATCACTTCTGATTTCGTGCCAAGGTCATCCAGATAAAATAGCACCTCTGGATCATCAGCGTACTTCATAGCCCCAAACCGGACCCGATTCTTGCCAACATCAGCTTTTTTCACCAAGTTTATCATGAAATCCTTCATGATATTATATTCATTAGAGTCAATGCTGCCAGAGCTGTCAATTACAAACACAACATCTAACACTTCAATTCGCTTGCATTCTAAGAGAAGGAGAAAGGAAAACCATGAGATTAGCTTGGGAGACTCCCCTCCCCTCACATGTCTTTTAATTGCCACTGTCTCCTCTCCATGGGATCAAGCTGTATATTAGAATGCCCATTCCTTAGAGAATATACACAATACATATATGTTTGTGTTGCCAGCACATAGTAAAACTCAATTAGGTGAGTTTTGGGGACAAGACTGATGTAAAGTAAAGCCTTCTATGCTTTTGGACTGGAAAAAAAAAATCACAATTCTTTGGAAAATTTCCTGTATAAATGGTGCCTTCAACATGTGCTTTCATTTATACAAATTTATCTGTTTAAGCCATGGGGTTCATGAGATTTCACTCTTTTTTTTTTCTTTTCTTTTTTTTTTTATGAGATTTCATTCTTGAGATAAGCCTTGGGGAAATGACCAAATAAAAATAAATTTGGCAACCCTGTATATTTTTTCATGGTTATATGATAGCCGACTTTTCAAGGTTACTTTTTCCCCCTTTTTGACATTCTGGAAACATTATCTATTTTCATTATTGGGTCTCATCAAAGAAATAAGCCCATTTCACACTTGGCCCAACTAAGCCGATGTTCCCATTAACTTTTCTACTCCTTGGGTCAATGCCACGGAAAAGTAAAGCAGGAAAGACCCAATTAATTAGTACTTAATCCATGTGTATGTAGCATATTCTATCTGGAAATGCAGAGGACTTAACTCCAACTCATTCATTCTGGAGAAGTGGGCTTGTAAGACGTTTAATGATCTAGTCCTCATGTAGTACAGTGTCTCAGCAGGCCTTACAAAAGTATGCTCCAAGTGTTAGCTCATCCATTCTGGAGAAACAGACTTGTGAGAGAGCATTCCCCCACCCCTCCACCAGAGGTTTACATTTCCTCTTGCCAGCACTTGTTATGTGGTAGGGCTGTTGAAAACCTTGGGGCCAATATATTTACCCCAATGACTTCAAGAAAATCTGTGTGGAGATACTAGAAAATATATATTGGTGTCTGTCTGCAGTTCCTGACACAGAGCTCCTGAAACCCTTGTAATTTTCTGGGTATCTTTTGTTCTAATGAGGTGACTCTGGGTGGGCCTTTACTGTGTGTTTCTTTCCTGTTGTCTCCTGGAAATAATGGCTCCTGGTCCAGTCACAGGAAAGACAAAGCTTGGAATTTTCAGTCCCACCTTCCCATTTTCTTGAGAAGGGAGAAGAGCTGCAAATGGAGTTAATGATTGATCATCTCAAAAGTACAGGGTTCAGAGAGCTTCCAGGTTTGATGAACACATGAAGGTTCTGGGAGAGTGGGGTGCTTGGAGATGGCATAAAACATGCTACATACACATGGAAGCTCTGCACCCTTTCCTCACAACTTGCCCTATGCATCTCATCCATCTGGATGTTCATCTGGATCCTTTATCATATCCTTTAATAAACCGGTAAACGTAAGTATTTTCCTGAGTTCTGTGAGCCACTCTAGCAAATTAATCAAACCCAAGGAGGGGGGGCGTTGTTGAACCTTCCATCTAGAGCAGGTTGGTTAGAAGCAAAGGTGATAACCTGGGCTTGTGACCGGTGTCTGAAGTAGGGGTAAGGGCAGTCTTACAGGAGGGAGCCCTTAATCTGTGGGATCTGATGCTATTTCCAGTAGATAGTGTCTGCATTGAGTTGAATTCTTGGACACCTTGCTGGTATCTGAGAATTGCTTGCTGATATGGGGAAAACCTCCACACATTTGGTGACCAGAAGTGTTGGAAGTGAAGTGTGCCATGTGAATAGGGAAGAAGACAACAGGAAAGAAACAGTAGGGAAGAACTGGGTTTTTCCCTACATAGGAAGGGAAAAAACTGGTTTTTTCTTTATAGGCTGGTTCCACAAAAGAAGAAACTATGTCTTTCTGGCCTTCAGCTGCCTTGAGAAACCTGCTTGGATTACCCAAGGGACTGGGGGTAGATTGCTCAGGGTTGAGCACCCTTCAAAGAGTTCAGATTTGCTCCCAGTGGAATGAGCAGGAAATACAATCTAGGTCTATTTCTCTTACCACAAAACACAGACCACAATCAACCTTCTACTGGAGTTGAACAGAACTGTTGCTTGAATAACAGAACAATGTTTCTCCCTTCCCTCAAAACTCCATTAAGACCATCTCCTTGGTAGAGATTTTTCAGAATGCTTTGGTCATCAAGCCCTGAGAGTCACAGTACAAATAAGTTCCTTATATTTGCAGGACTTTTGTTTCATCATTTTCATTCCTCTGTAGTTTCAGGAGAGGAGCTTTGGGACTCTACTATTTACTTCCTTTGAAGCATCCATTGCTCAAGTTCTTCTATCGTCCTCCTTTACAGGATTTAAGAAATATCAACATGTTTTCGCAATCGTCATCTCATTGTATACAAGTAATGGTTTTTTAAAAACTGTAAAATAAACTAACATACAGTAGATGTTAGGTCAAAGGGAAGCTACCTTACCCAGCAGGATATGCCCCTCTGACCTGCCTTGGCAGCCCACACATAGCCCAAAGGCTCAGGCTGGTCCCTTCACTTCAAGGTGCAATGGACTCTGTGGTGTAATTTATGAGTTTCTCATGGGATCAGGCTGAAGTGAGACTCCAGTGAGGACCACCTTCTTGCTTAGCTCCTAACCATGCCCTGTCCTACTTTCCTTACTTCCCTTCTGAAAACGCCTCCTCAATAAACCACTTCCACAAGAACCTCTGACTCATCTTCTGCCTCTAGGGAACCTGACCTAAAACCCGGTATGATACCACTTTTCTTAAATGGAGACATTTTCATTCTACTGCTATTTGTCTACAAATGGGAAAGAATCTAGGTGGATCAAAATTGTTCCTCACGAGCTCTTTAATTCAACATTCTGTTGAAGAAAGTTACATTTCATAGGTAGGTCAAAAGCCATTAGGATAAACATTTCAATGAAGCAAAAAGTTGACTATGTTCAAATAGTAGTCTACTTAATTCAAGAAATAATGACTAACATGGACACATGGTGTTTGGAGTGTCCCACCAGCAGATATACCCAGGCCTACCTTCATGGGGGCTGCATATTCCAAAAACAAGATCATCTTCAATGCCCTGCAGAATGTCAAAATTCTCAACATAAAAAACCATGTCTGGCCTCCCGCTGATCTCCTCCAGCTGGGTGACATTGGAGCCAAACACCCCCACAGAGTAGATAATTATGCCATCTTGCCGAAGGGCTACCGCTGGGTCCTTGACTATGTCATGAGCTTCACCATCTGTGATAAGGATGAGAAACTTCCTGACATTGGGCCGGGCCCCCTTGGTGGGGCTAAAGTACTGAGACACAAAGGTCAGGGCACTGCCAGTCATCGTGGTTTGTCCAATGTGAGGCATTTGGTCGATTGCATCTGAAATTTCACTTTGGGACATATACTTGTTGAGCTGAAACTCCTCCTTATTGATGTCACTGAACTGGACCACTCCGATTTGCACCCGATCTGCCCCAATCTGAGATTTGTTCACCAGATGTTTCATAAATGTTTTCATTTTGAAGAAGTTCTCAGATCCTATACTGCCAGAACTGTCCACCAGAAACATGATGTCAGCTTTCATCTCTTTGCAAGCTGTATGGGAGAAAGTGAAATAAATGTTTACTCATATTAAAAAAAAAATTAAGAGTGAACAGGAAAATCCAAAACACCAAAAATTCTATATTGAAGTTAAGTGTGTGCTTGGTAAGGATGGTTAGCAGGTAATAAAGCATTGGAGGCAATAAAAGTGAGACTACTCTATTTATTGTTTAGTAATTTGCTTTAGTATATTACTCAGGGTTTCTCAACCTCAGGACTACATAGCCCTCCCTTAGTTATGACAACTAGAAAATACCTCTAGACATTGCCAAATGTCCCCTAAGGGGGCAAAATCCCTCCTGGCTGAAAACTACTAATATAGCTCTAAAACAGTTCATGAGAGTTTGGTTAAAAAGCAATTTAAATAAAGCTGAAGTACTCCTTAAAATAAGAAATCATTTGATCAAATGATTTACACATGCAGTATCTAAGCATGTATCTATGCTAGTAGGGATTTGTGGGAAGAAGCTAATTCATAGTAATAAGGAAGAACTCCACCAAATATCTTTATGCCTTAGATATGAATTAGAACAACACTATAATGGGCCCCCAGTTTTGTTCTGGAAACAAACGCATCTACACAAATCAACAAATCTCAACCCAGAGATTCACACAGTTTCTGCAAACCTGCAATGTCAAATATCTCAGGAAGGTCAGCCGTGAGCTGAAGTCCAAAGGTAAAGCCGCCATTGTCCTACCTTCTTCAGTACAGATTTCTTGAACAACTTTGTTTCTTATGTCTTTCAACGAGTCGAAGTCATGCACGTAGTACACCCTGTCTTCCTCGCCTGCAATTTCCCGCAGCTGTGTCTGGTTGGCGTCCTTGACCCCGATGGCATAAACATGGATGAGCTCTTCCCTCAGTCTGCGCACAGGCTCCAAGATGCTATCCTGGGACATGCCGTTTGTCAGGACAACGAGATGACACGGCACCCGGTTTCCTCGTTGCTTCTTTGCTTTTTGCAACAGGCCCAGTGTGAAATTTAGGGCCGCGCCCGTGTTCGTACTCCCACCCAGCTGCCTGATGTTCTCGATGGCCTTTCCCAAATCCTGCTTGTTTGAGTATTTATTGATTTCAAATTCCAAGTCCCAGCTGTCAGCGTACTGAACGGCCCCAACCCGCACCTTCTGGGGAGCGATGTTGAACATCCGTACGACCTCTGACAGGAAGGTCTTCATTTCCTGGAAGTCTGCGGCCTGGGTGCTCCCAGAGCCATCAATGAGCAGGTAGATGTCTGCTTCTTCAGTGTCCACGCAACCTAAAGGGAATCGAGAAGGTGAGCGTGGCATTGGGCATGCGTGAAGAAGAAATGGGAGAGAGAGTGGGGAAAACAAACATGAGCCGCTTCGGATGGAAAAATGGGAAACAGCCCCTAGGCATAAAAGACATGCTCTGCTAGCTTAACACAGGGGAGTCTTAGCAGCAGTGGGGCCAAACGAATGTCTTTTGACAGTTTAAGACTAGTTCGATAATTCTCTGCCATGAATCAAGGTCAATCGGGATATAGCTTTTATTTCCCCCCAATTACATTTCATGGGATCAAGGTCAAGTAGGAAATTAGGAACCTATTTTCACTCCCCACCTCATACCAGTCATGTTTGTACACAGAATACCTAAGAGAGAAGAAAAAAGATTGAGTGATACCTCTCTCAGCAAAACACTTTACCGGATTTGAGGGTTTCGGTCCGCTCTGAAAAGACGGAGACTGTGTGCGTTATTTGGTTCCGCAGCTTCTTCAGGAATGTCTGGTTGTGAGCAGCCAGGTCGGAGAAGGTCTTCAGGTTGGAGACAAACTGCTCGGCGGGGTGCGATGCTATCTTTTCCAGCTCGATGGTGCTAGCCCCCTCTATGCCCACGGTGAAGATGGACACTCCCTGGCGCCGGAGGTTCAGGGCTGCCTTGGTCACGTTGTCCTCTGACGGTTGGTGGGTCACCAGCACGGTGATCTGGGGCACCCCCTGATTCTTCCGACTGCCGTTCTGTGCACTGAAGACCTCCTCCCTGATCTTGCTGATGGCGGCCCCGGTGTAGGCCCTGCCCGGCTGGGGAGAGAGGTCCTGTATAGACTGGAGGACCTCCGATTTATTGATGCCCCTGCTCAGTGAACTGATCACCTGTGTCTCATCGCTATAGGCCACAAGGCCAACCCTCATGCAGTTTTCCTTTATATCAAGAGCAGATACACTTTCTTCTAGGAATTCTTTAAGATAGTCAAAGTTCTCCTCGCTGCCGTTGACAGACACATCCAACAGGAACACAAGGTCGGCCACGGATGTGCCTTGGCAAACTGTGTGGGCAAGGATGAAAGAAGCACAATTTTAGGTGGAAGTTCAGCATCTCTGCTTAGCATTAGGCGGTATGGAGAACACCTACCAGAGCTCGGTTACCCACTTAAAGAAAGGAGGAGGCATATACAATGATTACAAAGCTGATATCAGAGGGTCCAGGGTTCAAATATTGGATCTTAGCTAAACTCCTAGCTTCAACGTCCTCCTCTATAAATTAGAGATAATAGTGATATTTACCTCATAGAGTTCTTATGGGAATTAAATTGATAAGGTTTTTAGCCTGGGGCCTGGGACATAAGAGTCATTCAAAGACCAGCAGCTACTACTATCATATTAAAATCATTAAGCATCATCACTGTTGAAATCAGCATAGTCCAAATTTTCCTAAGCGATGGTACTGGGATACCAATTATACTTTTCCCATTATTTTATTTGGGAAAGATACTAGTAATAGGATTCATATTTTCATAGATTACCATAAGAAAAGCATTATCTATTAACAACAGATAATTTTATATGTCATGTCATTCAAAGTGATTTCACCAGAAATAATGGGAGTTTCCTATGTTGGCTGTACACTCTGAACAAATTGTTTTATACTGGCTCTCCCCTGCCCCTCACTTGAATGATGTTCATGAACTCTTGGCCATTGTTAATAGCATAGTACAAGGTCCGCAGGACAGCAGGTTGGAGGTTGAGAAGAACACGGGGCAGCTAATTTAGAACAGAGAAGCAGGAAGGGAGGCAGCGTGAAATGACATGGGCCTAGGAATCGAGAGACCTGACCTAGCTCTGGCCCAGGCTACATCACGTCCTCTAAGGATGCCTGTGAGTTCCTCCCTGCAGAATAGGGGGTTGGGACTACTTAATTAAAGCTCTTTCCAGCTCTAACATTCTGTGGTTAAGGATTTCTCTAGAAAAAAATTGACCAGTAATAAAACTACATAGCAACTAAAGCCCAGGGAGATAGCTAAGAAGCTGGTGGTAGGGAGAAGGTATCCCTGAATTTTAAGAAGCCAGTAAATTATGTGCAACATGGTTAAAGGGAAACATGGGACACCAAGACTTGTAGGGTTCACTGGATTTAAAATGGACACAACCAACAGACCCTTTTGAACCCACAGATATTTAACAGCTAAAAGTACAGCCCAGCTTTTGGGGAAAGGGATGTTCAGAGTCTCAATCTTCCCTCCATGTTGATTTTTCTAAAGCATTTTATCATCATTTCTATACGTGCACCCTCAGCCCACCTTCGACAAGAGTGTCATCAACTGCTCCTTCCTTGTACTGAGCGGCATCCTTGATGACCTGTGTCATGTTCTGGGAAAATGTGCCGAGGTCTCTGACATTCCGAAGGTTGAAATGAAACTGAGCCGTGGCCATGGCCTTCAGGTTCTCCTCCGAAGCTTTCTGCACCCCCACGGAGATGATTCTCACCCCATCTTTCCGCAGAGCCTCGGCAGCCTCTCCCACGTCATCCTCGGACTCAGCCGAAGCCAGGACCACCAGGATCGGGGGAAACAGCTTCTTGTCTCTCCCGTTTGCAGGTCCAGAGAAATAGGTGCTGTGAGCCTCCCGGAGAGCATTTCCAATCTTCAGGGAGCCGCCCATGAACGCGAAGTTCTTCTTGAGGTGGTTCAACATGGGGTTCTTGCCCTTGAAGGTGCTCAGCTGGAATTCACTGTGGAGCCTGTCGCTGTACTGGGCCAGGGCCACGCGGTATTTGCTGGCCTCTATGGGGAGGCTGTTGATCATTTTGTTGATGAACGTTTTCACAAGAGGGAAGGACTGCCTTCCCAGGTGATCAGAGCTGTCCACCAGAAACACGACATCTGCATACTCAGGGCCTACAAACCCACAAACAAATCAACAAAGCACAAGTTTTGAAAACATACTACCATGTTTAATGCCAATCATCTGGGGGAAAATGTACTTTCCTCTTTTAGCTGTATTTTAAATTTTATTTTAATATGTTTTTATTGATTTGAGAGAGAGAAAAAGGGAGAATGAGAGAGAAACATCGATCACTTGCCTCCTGCACGTCCCCTACTGGGGATCGAGCCCACAACCTGGGCATGTGCCTTGAATGGGAATTGAACTGGTGGCCTTTCCATGCATGGGACAGTGCTCAACCAACTGAGTCACACCAGCCAGAACTTATATTTGTATTTTTAATACCTTCCCAAAGAACTGAAAATAATAGCCTGAAATTACACATCCTCTCAAGAAAAAAAATATTTGTTTCTTGGGCTAATTCTTTTATATTTCTTCTCATTTAAACTGATTACAAAATTCAGCATCACTTTTTCAAGGAATTAGCTCATTAAAAATAGATAAATTTAGAGTAAAAACTTCTGGGTTTTTATAACTGTAGGGGATAATTTCCCCTTGTACTTTTTAATTTTTGTTTTTAGAATTTGACTTCAGTCTATAACAGGAGGATACATATTAATTGAGAAATAAACTGCTTCAAATTTGTTTGAATGTGGAAATCTGATAGTCTTTTATTGTAATTCCAATTTTAAGCACTGCAACAAAGTGATCAGATTACTTATAAATATATTAGTTTCATATGCCAGTGTCAAACTGATGAAGTTTAAAAAGCACCTAAAAATCATAAAAATATGGGATTGCTTTAATCTATTTTAAAGTTATTTACAATATTTTTTTGATAAACCGTATGAGTGAGCACTCCAATTGGTAAATTTATTCTCACATGTGTAAAATGTGATAGAAACCACTATACCTTAAGCTAGGGAAGCGATTATGGTTTCAGTTTCTATTAAAAAATGTAATTTTTGCCTGGCTGGGCATGGCTCAGCGGTTGAGCGTCAACCTGGGATCTAGGCGATCGGGGTTCGATTCCTGGTCGGGGCACATGCCCGGGTTGCAGGATCGATCAGTGACTCTCTCATCATTGATGTTTCTATCTCTCTCTCCCTCTCCTTTCCTCTCTCTGAAATCAATAAAGATATAAAAAAAAATGTAATTTTTATATAAGGATCCAACAAAGTCCACTTTGTTGAACTTTTAAGGCTTCATTCAATGCCAGATTCAATGCTGGGTACACAGAATTACATTTTTATGTGACAAAGAATCACTGGATTGAAGCACAGAATGCTGTGCATTGGTGATCTGTTGGTTTTAATTCAGAGCTCTTAGCACTTTAGTCTATGATCTATTTCTTATCTGGGGAAGAAAGGGAACTGTGTGTGTGTGTGTGTGTGTGTATGTGTAGTGTATATTTAAGAAGATATGATGCAATTAAACAAGTAACAGGAGTCCTGACTTTGTTATCAGCTAACTCTACCAGCTCTTTCAAGACAGTCACTATACTTGGGCCTCAGTTTCCTCACCTTTAATATGAATAGATTCTCCCAGCTGGGCATGGCTCAGCGATTGAGCATTGACCTAGGATCCAGGAAATCAAGGTTCGATTCCTGGTCAGGACACATGCCCGGGTTGCAGGCTCGATCCCCAGTCGGGGGCTTGCAGGAGGCAGCCAGTCAATGATGACTCTCTCATCATTGATGTTTCTATCTCTCTCTCTCCGTCTCCCTTCCTCTCTCTGAAGTCAATAAAAATATATTTAAAAAAATAAAATAAATTTAAAAAGATAAAATAGATTCAACAAGAAAATATTCTAAGGTCCTTCTTCACTCTGAGATTCTGATTATCTCAAATGATTACTAAATTCTTATTAAATTAAAATAACATCAATCTTTTCCTATCTACAACTGGGAGGAACCAGCTTTGGCACCCCTGTGTCTTATTTCATTCTCTTTATGGCAGTCTGATTGAGGCATAGTGGAAATAAACCACTTTTTTGTCTTCTAAATAACCCAGTTTCAACCAGTTTGAGCTCCCTTTGATAATCAGTTAGCCAGCAGCATTTTAGAGGGAGAAATAAGAGAGGGTGAATCAATATCTTCCTCCAAGAGAAGGCTGGAACCCCTACAAGGACTGTCAGGTGAGCCCTGCCCTGGATGGCTTGACTTGCAACCAAAATCAACCTTTCTATTCATGGATAGACCACCACATCTTGTGTGGAGAAAGGAAATGTAAACAACTGGCACATGAGCTAGATTCAGGTTCTGGTAAGGCCTGTTACTGTGTCTAAACCGTGGAACAATTGGGGGAAAAGTATTACCTTTCTTTAAAAAGCATAATATCAGGCCCAGTGAGATATCAGAGGAAGATGTTTGCAGGGCAACGTCTTAGTTTATCTCTTCAGAAAACTTACTACCAAGGTCAGAGTCCTTGAGAAAGCTGTAAAAGCTAACACAAGTGTCCCCGAACATGAAGTGGCCAGTAGGAGAACTAGTTATTTAAGAAGAGGTAGAGGCAGAGAAGGGTAGGCCAGGATTTTGAGTTAAAGTCCACTGGATGTAGATTGCTGACAGACAGTAGACAGCTGTGGTGTTTTCTGTTCAGAGTAAAAGCACTTTCTTTACAATAACAGTTAAATAGTTTAAATTGGAGCAAAAACCGGATGCTTAACCAAGATAATGTTTTGGCACAAATGAATTAGGAAGACATTCCAAGATTTCCAGGCCTGAACCTAATATTAAGAGACAGAATTTTATGCAACCTCCCAGAAGACCTCAAAGGGGTTGAAACTGAGGACAAAATAACAGCTCTCGTATCTTTCTATCCTCAACAAGGACTGAATTTCAGAGACAAATGAGTTTCAAAAAGAAATTGATCAACTACTTCACCCTTACCACTATGAAAATCAAAACAAAGTGAAACAAAACTCAACTTTTAAGTAAGTCAAAATCATATATTATCCATTTCCCAAAATGAAGATTAAAGAATTCTTTCCATTTTTTTTCCTTACCAGAATCTTGGTTCACAGAAAAATGAGAGAAAATTATTATGAGGAACAAAATCAGCAGCATTTTCATATTATGAACTGAAAAATCTTCAACTTGAAATCTGAAAGGTGATAAGAAAAACATCTAACATCATTTGGGATATTATTTGGACACACATATAAAAGTACACAAAATTATATAATAAATTGAGTGCAACTTTTGAGGTTTCCTCCTGACCTTCTGGATCAGCAAAGTGCCTTAGAGAAAAGTGAACCACCAACATTTACAGAATCGCAAGTTTCTCCTGGTCCCCAGACCCTCTAGAAACACAAGATTTTATTGTCAATAGAAGTAGCCAGAAACATTCTAGTTCCAACAATATTATGTGTTCCAATTAGTCATTTTTCCTGTACCTAGTATTATCCTCTGTCTACTCATTGTCAAGACAATCCAGAGTTCATGGTTGGGACAGTCTAAGACCTGATTTTGTAATTTCTCCATCATGAGCATGTAGGTGTATTTCATATTTGAGCAGTAAATATTTCTAGATATGGTGAATTGAAATTTTTTCCCCTTTCCCTACATAATTAATTAGAAAGGTAACCATTTCCCTTCATCCTTAACTTAGAAAGGGGACAAAAATAAGTAGTCATCCTCCATTTTCCATACGATGTCTTGCTCCTCAGAATGACTCAGGTTGTACTATTTTGCTTCCAGCTACCTAGAACTACACAAGGTAAGAGTTTTCCAATTCTAATTAGGCCTGAGGAATTTTTAGCCACCTTCAATAATTCATTTCATGAAATGAAACAGGATTTAAAAAATATTGAAAAATATTTTAATTAAGTGTTGGGCTCATTCATAACACCCATTCATTCATCGAATGAAACAACTAATTGATCCATATTAATAAAGTAGTGTCTGTTTCTTGCTTTATTTTTACCCAAACGTGTATTTGCAATATTATATATGGCTGTCTCACTCCTTGTCTGGCGGGCTCCTGGTGCTTAATATTTCACCCCTTCAGAAAAGGAACCTTTGCCATGAGACATTCCATGCCTGTTTTCTCACCTACTTCATCGTCCCTCTGACATTCTGGAATTTGGGACTCTGTTCCTTTCCTGTATAAGAAGCCTAGATGAGATAAGCTTTTCAGGCTGTAAATCAATGTATCAATCTTATTCCAGGGGTAATCAGTGAGCTGGAAGGGACTCTTAAACGGTTGTTTTTTATTTTTTCAGTTCAACCTTATTATGTTAGAGGAACTTTAGTCAGAGTGGATTGCCCCAAGGAAAAACCAAGTCAGACCATCTGTACAAATCTTTTACTAATGTGCATAACAATAACAACACTCTACCTTTGTTGAGCCTTTAGTATGTGCCATGCCCTGTGCTAACAGCTTTGCATTTGCTCTCTTGGTTGATACTGATAATAAACCTAGGAGCAGGTGATATTTTTCCAGTTTTACAGATAAAAAAAATGGAGATGTAACTGATTCAAGGTCCCATTGATAAAATGGGCCACAATTGAGACTACAGCCCACATCTGTCTGACTCTAAAATCTGCACTTTCAAACTCAGTTACTCTGCACCCTAAACTCAATATTGTGAACACAAGAAGTGCCTCCAAGTTTCTTTGTTCTGTCTTTTTCCTGAGCTTCAGGAAATCTTGGTATTTGTTTTCATGTCTTCTTACTTTTGCTTTTCAAAACCAGGGTTTTGTGCTAGTCACTTCTTTTTCTGTTTATATTATGAGCTTTATTATTATTTTTTTATTTTTTATTATGAGCTTTATAAATAAGCGCTATTTTTAAGAGCTAGGAGAGAGAAAAGAGAAAAGGCTTCAGGAAGAGTCCACAGGATAAATGTCAAAGATGGGAAGAAAGGAGCACTGAAAAAAAGTTAAAACCTAGATGAAAAGTGAGGATTAGGTGAGGCCAGCACACTCCCTACGTAGTATGTGGCATCTAGGAATTTCCCCCTGCAGATGGCCAATACATTAAAAGTTGTACATGGTACAATAAAAGTTGAGTTCTTTGGGACAGCATCTAGTAAAACAATTTTCTTGCAGTCTTTTAACGGAACACTAAATCTGGTGTTCTATAAAGCTTTTCAACAGTGTGGAAGCCCAGTGAGAGGTTCTCTTGACATGTTTATGAGCCCTGCTTTACGTGTGCTGGGACCAGTGGTGGGACTAAACTTCCAAGTTCATTTGCTTGGGAGGCTTGGGTTTATTTTTACCACATCAAAACAGAGATGAATTGCCTATAATCTATATGTTGTTTTACCTCTAGACTGACCAGGATTTACATCATTAAATTTTTTTAAATATCTAAACATTTAAGATAAAATTCAAAAATACTCAAAGACATGAAGGGAGAATGAAGAAGAAATTTACTTAAAGTAATAAAAAATTTAAAGTCCTGGTACACCCCATCTTAATGTAACAACTGTGAGATTGATTGCTTCTTGGTATGGAAACACTCTCGAAGGTATAAATCTCTTTAATCTCAATTTTGTTGTACCGCATTTATTCTGAATCAAGCAAGCTGAGGGTAATATAACCCTTTTGGAAGTTTTATGCTATAAAAAGCCTTTTTAAAAAAATCTGGATCTTGCCATGGCCAGTGTTGCTCAGTGGTTAGAGCACTGGCCTGAGCTCCAAAGGGTCATGGGCTCAATTCCCAGTCAAGGGGACATACCTGGGTTGCAGGTTCAATCCCCAGCCCTGGTCGGAGCGAGTTTAGGAGGCAACCAATCGATGTGTATCTCTCTCTCTCTTCCCCCCCCCCTCTACTTCCCTCTCTCCATTCTGGTCTCTCTAAAAATCAATGGAAAATAATATCATTGGGTAAGGATTAACAAAACAACAACAACAACAATCTGGATCTCTGTAAACTTTCTGTTGAGAGGTAGGATGTTTCTAACTTAAACTACAGCTGCAGAAGCAACACAGCCAACTAACAACACCTGGCTTCAAACCAGAAAGTTTAGAGCTTGTGCAACAGCTCTCTTGAGGTTATCAAGAACCATCGTTTCAGGGAGGCCTCTGTTTCATAGAAGCCAATTCATAATCAATTACATGTCTTAGAGCCCAGAAGGAATACAAAAGAAACTTCAGCAGAATTAAGATACTTGCCATGTCTTTCCTTTGAAATGAGCATACATCATTTCTAAGTACTAATTTTCTTTTTCTTCAGAAACAAGAATAGTGTCAGCTGTTACACTGGAAGAGACAATACTGGGTCTGTGCCACGCAGCTCAAATAAACAGCTGTTTGCTTACTTAACCCCTGGTCTCTCACTATTCCCCTTCCTCGAGCCATTTCTAGTTCTCAGAAGTCAAAAGGTAGAAAGAAAAATATTCAGAGTAACACTTAAGTTCATGTTGAAATGCTGCAGGATAAATCTTTGGCGCACAAGAGGAACAAAAAAACATTGATTCGAAGGTGAGCCAAACAACACACGCAAGCACTCTGGGGGCAAGCAAGGCTCAGAGTTCCACTGTTAACCTCGCACTTCCCCCAGCTGCATTTTCTGGAATCACAAATGGGAGCTGTATATGTTGATCATATTGAGCAAGGTCATGCCGGTGACCTTGCCACATTATGAAACGAACACTCTTCTGTGTGGAGGAGTGAGTGCTTAGCTCAGTGGAAAGAGCCCAGGCTATAAATCTCATGACATGGCTTTCACTCCTTTCCTAAAATCCCGTGAGGCTTTAGACACCACCACCACACTTCCATAGGTTCCTAATCTGTAGTACAAGGGGTTATATTCTCTCTAAATTTTAGCAGCTCCACACATGGACAGTTCTTTTACCTAACAGATAGTACTAGAAGAGAAAAACATACACGCAGTTAAGCCAAGAGCACACTGAAATACTGAGCATGTGTTTTGAAACAGTCCAATGAAGGAAACTGCCCCTCAGGTCTTCCATTGGAGGGGTGAACCACAGCCAAAGAAAGGGCATGTCTTGACTAGCTCCTCTCTGGGTCAAAATCTTTGATGGAGTCCTTCCAGACCCAACTACAAGAACTTAAGGGGACTAGAATTCCAACAAATCAGACCCACTAGGAATTAAGTGTCCAACTTAGAAATTATTATTTTTAAAATTTTATCTTTATTATTAAAAGTATTACAAATATCCCCCCCCCATTGACCCCCTCCACCCTGCTCCCACCTCCTCCCCAGGCCCTCCCAGCACCACTGTCCATCCATGGGCTATGCACGTATGCATATAAAGTCATTGGTTAATCTCGTCCCTTCCTCCCCTCCCCCCCTTTCCCTCTGAGATCCCTCAGTCTGTTCCATGCTTCAACGTCTCTGGATCATTTTTGTTCATCAGTTTATTTTGTTCATTAGATTCCACATATGAGTGAGCTCATGTGATAGTTTTCTTTCTCTGACTGGCTTATTTCACTTAGCATAATCCTCTCCAGGTCCCTCCGTGCTGTCTCAAACGGTAAGAAGTGTGAGAAAAAGTACAAAAAAAATTTCAAAAAATTATAGAGATGCTAAAATTCTAAAAAAATTGAGCAGAAATTAGCAAACTAAGAAACAAAGATAAAGAAAATTAAGTTTTAAAACACCAACCTCACAATAAACTGATCAAAAAGGGAGAGAGGACACAAATAGACAACTGTACGAATGAAAAAGGAGCTGTAACTACAGATAAGGCAAATTCTTTTTGAAAATTAAAGCAATAATTGAAAACATTCATAGAAGGAAAGCTCCAGGCCTAAATGGTTTTATTGGCAAGTTCCACCAAACTTTGAAGAAGTAGATCATCTGAATCTTTTACAAGTTATTTCAGAGACTAGATGAATATTTGCCATTTCAGTTTTATGGGGCCAGTGTAATCTTGATATGCAAACCATTTTACTCATGAATATAAAGGAAAAACAAGGGCCCATTTTACTCATTAGCCCTAAATAAAACATTAGAAAATCAACTCCCTCCGTGTATAAAAAAAGATAAGTTCATCTTGATAATGGTGTATTATCTCAGGAATGCACCAATGTTTTAAAATTAGAAAACACATAAATTAACTCACCACATAAACAGACTAAAGGAGATAAACTATAAACACAAAAAGGAAACCACCCCATAAACTCATAATT